ATTTAAATATACTTTAAAATGGTTTTATGTGACAGATCTCCTGTTTAATGTACTAACAATTTAGTAATTCCATTGTGCAGTCGGTGCATCTTGCACATAGTGTCTATTTGTGTCTATAATTAGAAATAAAGTTCTAACCATCTGTTCCAGCTCTGACCACACAGAACAAGTTGGCTTCAAGGAAGTACCAATTGCCAGTGAGTCTGACCCTCCATTATATGTCCTGAGCACAGTTTAGCATTCCTGGACATATTGCTAAACTTAATGGCATTTTATTTCATGCTTGAAGTTTTAATGACCTCTGCTTCATGAAAGACAAACACAAGATTTAATTAACAACTTCCATTAAACGCCCTTGAACACCTCCACTAGACAACAGAACAGTCCTAAGTGGTAGCTAATTCAGCCCCCCACCATGTGGAAATCATACACGAATACATATTTCACTATACACAGCATAGGAATATCAATAGGTTCAAAATTAGAAGAATCAAACCAAACTTAAGAGTTACTGCAGACTGCTGGAGATTTTTGAGGGCTAGGTTTTATCGAACATTCATCTTTGTGTTCATTTTAACCTGTTTATGTGTTTGTTTGTTTTTTCCAAAAGCTTTGGTGTTAGCATTCCATCATAAATACTGGTACTGCTTGAGCGGCTCCCAATCCGTGGAACACACTAAAGGTTCGGAAACCAGTCCTTAAGGCACACAAACAGTCCAGGATATGTTGTAACAGAACCTGGAAATACCTAGATTCTAGACTGTTGGTGTGTCTTGAAAATTGGATTGGAATCCACTGGCATACCCAATGAATGTCAATAGCAATCAAAGGTATAATCTGCTATGATGCTAAAACAAGATAAGAAGATTATATATCTCGTGTATATATGTTTTCTTGAAATATCTCTTTTGTGTATTGTGACCATATATTTTTTTTTTGTGTACTGTGACCTAGATTACCTTTTTTGTGTACTGTGACCTAAATGATATTTCCATATACAACCCATTAAAAGGGAATTTTGTTAATTTAGTTAGTCTATAGGAGTATATCCTTAGAATAACACCAATGCTTCTTCTGTTATATTGGAGTAAAATCTATCAAGGGAGGTCCAAATCTCATCCGGCTAGTTAATTGACAGTACTTCTCCCGGTTTCATTAATGGCTGGTTCTATCTACTGTCTGTGTTTTCTATGTGTATTTCAAGCTCTGTTTATCAAAGCTAATACAGTTTGTTGTGGAGAGGAATGCCTCCAATGAATGCCACCTGTACAGCAAAGGTGGGTCTAAAGAGACTTGAATAAATAGCTGTATTTGTCTATTATTTTTTAGCTTCATTGATAAATTACTTGTTTACACTTTTGACAGTAGACATTGGTTTTGTTTCTAGATGTTTTTCATTGTATAGAAAGGAAATGTCTCTTAAGTCTAAGTGTAAAATAGCCACAATAGCCACATGTGTTTATTAATTTTTAAAGATGAGGAAATGGAATTTCTCCTGTGTTATAGAGCCTGAGATCTTTATAAAAATATTAGACATCTTTAGAAATACCATATCGGTGAAGGAACTCAGGCTGTTCAGTAGGCTCCCATAGCTTGGAACAGCAGATCATATTCATGAGGTCCAACAAGAAATTGGCTACTGTAGCAGTGATGCCTTCCTCGGTGTAAGGGTGAACCTTTTGACACTGGGAAGTCGAATGAAGGTGTTTTGTTTCATTTATTGCATTATCTAAGATATTATCTTACAAAGGGTCACTGAACCAGTCTTGGAATTAAGGAATAGATCATCAAGCTATTTCCATGCACGTAATTGGGTTACTTGCCAAAAAAAGGTTGCAAACCACTGGTCTACAATAGACCATCTTTTATGCCTATCCGCTTAAGTTTAATTTCTCTCCTGACATGCCCTTAAATATAGCTTAGTCTCTCTTTTACTTTAACTGCTATATAAGGACCTGTTAGCCTTTCATTTTAGTCAGGAAGAAGGCAGTGACATGAACCTCCAAACATTTTAAATGCACAAAGAGGGATACTTTAATTTTATTGATGTGAGATATTTTAGGTAACTTACTAACTTACTTACTTACACAGACTGATTTCTAAACACATTTATTGTAGTTTGAAGACACATTACTGGGAGTATTATTGCTATGGAGCTCTGTTACACACTCGGACACACCAACAATATGGAGCTCCTAGAAAAGAGGGACATTAGGATAGAAAAGAGGAACAGAGGGATTTGGGCCCAAAATAGTAATATTACATACTAAACTATATCCTAATAAACTTCAATCCAGGTAGAAATCACTGGCTTGTAAGCATTGGAATATTGATAAAAAGGATTTTTCCACTTCTGGGGCACCCTGATATGCACTTTTGTAAATAAACATATAAATAAATACTGAGCCTCTGGGATTGCTGTTTTAAGCCTGTGATTAAATCCAGATTTACTTCTTTGTGGTAAGCCCTAGATCTCCTTAATGCCCCTGAAACTGAACAATGATTTATGAGCTTAGTTTTAAAACATTTTAGAAGAATTGAGGCCAAGAATCTAATAAGCGATTGGTGTGACATTATATCCTATAAAGCTTTCTATGAGTTTACCGCGTTCTATGGCACCGAACACAGAACCATTCTCAGTTATATGGAATTCGAAAGAGGTAACTTTTAGATGAAGGGTAGGTGGCATTGAAATGGCAATAGCTATGTCACAGGACCCTCCTTTCACCAACACAACACATAGACTTTGAGTTAGTTGCTTCACTGAGTCGTCCCCTCCACCCCTCCGCCACTTATACTTGTAATTTAAAATATAGCAAGAGGTTAGTTCATGCATGAGAAAAGTCAAGTCAATCATTAACACCACTTGCAATTGCAATATAAAAAAAGAAATACTGTTTAACCATTGATTGCCTATGTGGTGCAATGTGTTCTAACAGGAAAAAGAAAAGATTTAAAGTCGAGTGGCCTTTAGCTCTACTTTCTATCACAATTGAGTTAATCAGTGACCGTCCCCTCGACTTCGAGGTTTTTTTCTGTATGTGTGTGTGTGTGTGTGCACGAGCCCGTGCAACAGCCAACAGACAAAACAAACACACCAGAAACTGTTAATGGAAACCTACTATAGCTCAGAATTCCACTAGTCCTCTAAAGGACATAAACATTATGTGTATCCATTTCTGACATCAAACTGTTCGTATCCATTTCTGACATCAAACTGTATGTGGAAATCAACAGATTGAGCAGACACTGGGGACAATATCTCACTCTCGTATTAGAAACTGCACTTCAGGCTGCTTCAATTTGAAAATTAGCTTTAGGAGGCTAGACTTGCACTTTGTACTTAAAGGGACACTTTAGTCACCAGAACAACTACAACTTAATGCATTTGTTCTGGTGAGTCTAGTCATTCCCTGCAGGCTTTTTGCAGTAAATACTGTCTATTCAGAGAAAATAAAGTGTGTACATTACAGCCTAAGGATAACTCCACTAGCCACTCCTCAGATGGCTACTAGAGGTGCGCTTTCCTCATAGACATGCATTGATTCAATGCATCTCTATGAAGAGATGCTGATTGGCCAGGGTGGCGTTTGGTTTCAACCCAGGCCCACCTCCTTGGCTAAGATCATCACAATTGCCAATCTCTGCCAATCCAGTGCTTTCTATGGGAAACCATCGTGATTGGCTGAGATTATCACTTCTGATGATGTCAGCCAAGGAGGCAGATCAGGGGCAGAGCCAGCACCAGCAGTATGGATAAAGTTAAGAGTTTACTATGTTTAGGGAGGTAAGGGGAGGGGGGCAGGGACACTATATAATATTTTTAACACTATAGGTTCATGAATACATGTTTGTGTTTCTTACCCTATAGTTTCCAAGTTCCTAGTTACCATTGGGACTGTGTGACCATTTACAAACATACACAGGAGTCAGTATATGGAACACAGATCTCTCTGTCTCTCTCACTCTCTGTCTATCTATTTATTCCTGCTGATGTATATACCTACTATATATTGGAATCACTACATATGGTGCACATGGTAATCAGTACATAGAACATACACAAAGTTCAAGATACAGAAAATAAACAAATATAAGTATACACAAAAAGCATCGCGAACAGTAAATAGAACATACAGTAGGCTGTACAAGGAACATGCATACGGGATAAAACACAGTACATACTCAGTAAGGAGTATATAGAGCATACACAAGTAATAATACACAGTGCATTAACAGGGGATAATGAACAGAGCATACACAAGGGATAATACACAGTACATACACACAAGACAACATACAGAACGCGCAGAGTGCACAGAATATACATTATAAACATTACAAAGAATATATTTAAGGGGCAGTACAGCAGACAGCACTCAGAACACACACAAGTGATAATACACAAAACATATACAGGAGACAGTAGACAGAGATTACACAAGGGATGATATATACTACATAAACAGGAGACAGTTTACAGAACACGCAGAGCACACAGAACATACATTGTAAATACAACAAAGAGCATACACAAGGGACAGTCCACAGAACATACACAGTAAGCAGTACACTGGACACACAAAGGGGATAGTACATAGAACATACACAGAACCTGTGTGCACATAGCACACACAATTGTTTATATTGAACTGACTGTTTATTATTATTATTATTATTTTATTATTTATATAGCAAATTCCGTAGAGCTGTGTTTAGAGACATCCATATACATATTTGGTTATGTGCAGAACATACATGTAAACATACATGCACACACGGATTGCATGTCTAACTCTAGACAGGACATGGTCTGGGATACATATTACTGTAATTGCAATAAATGCCTGTCATTCTGCAAGGTGGTAGGAAATTACACTTTTTTCACTCAAAGCACAGGACAGGTGATGAATCATTTCAGGATGTTTTTGGCACCTTTCAGAGGAAGACACACCTGGCCCTGTGGCGGTGTGAGGCTTACTGTATACCTGGGGCAATGACACACCTTCTACAGGCTCCAGCTACAACACTTCATTGTTCACTAGAGACAGGGGATGACGACAGCTCCTCTTCCTTGTCAGATTGTTCCTCTTAACCCAGTGTGTACTGGGAATCCATGCATAGTCCAGACTTGTGTTCCCAAACTAATAGAAAGCAAGATGTAGTTCTCCACACACACAACATTCTATAGCGTATACATACATACGTTTATAAACAATGTGTACAGCTCACCAAAATAAATTTATACTGTCCTTTCCACTGTTTGCCCTGTGCACTTGGGGAAAACATTAATTTAAGCACAGATGTTTAGAAGATAGACAGTTCTCTTTATAACTACTGGAATGGAAACCCTATGGTAGCAGTCACATAATTGTCATATTATAGAACATTGAACGGGCAGTGATACTGTAGCATTGTGGCAGGAACATTGTAGTGGGGGTGCTGAATTGGTGGTTACATTGTAGTGGATACACTGAATTGGCAGTCACATTTGACCAGTTTTGCTGAAGTGGCCATTACATGGTATTGGAGACACCAAAGTGGCGTTTACATTGTAGTGGGGACACTGAAATGACAGTTTCCTTGTAGTGGATACATGAACTGGCAGTCACATTTTACCAGTTTCACCGAAGTGGCTGTTAACATGTAGTGGAAACACTAAAGTGGCAGTCACATTTTACCAGTTTCACTGATGTGGCCGTTACATTGTAGTGTGACATTAAAGTGGAGTTACAGTTGGTTGAAACACTGAAGTGAGGGTGGTGCATACACTGAATTGGTGATCACATTTTAGCAAGGACACAGAAGTGTCAGTCACATTGTAATGGTGACACAGCTGTAGCTTTCTCCTTTAATGGTGATCATAGGGTTTTAGTTACATTGTAGTGAGGACACTGTTGTAGATGTTTCTCTCAAGGCTGGCCACAAAATGGCAGTCATAGTTGAGCAGGAACACTGAATTGGCAGTCACATTGTAGTGGGGACACGGAGGTAGCTGTTTCCCTTAATGTTGGCCAGAATTAGGCAGTCAGATTGCAGTGGTAACACAGAAGTTGTTGTCACTATGTTGAGATGCCGGTTACATTGTAATAAACACTGATGTGGTAGTACATAGGTGCCCGTCTTACTGTAGTGTTGGCTTTTTGGCATCAGTAAGCTTGCTCTGGAGGCAATGATGTGTAAGTCATATTGAGCAGGTCTACTGAGGAGAGCAGTGGTGTATCAGTCAGAATGTTCTGGGCACCAAGGTTCCATTCACATAGCAATACGATGCAGCTCTGCAGGTAGGCACTGATTTCATATTATCATTGCAGCTTAGAGTCTCAAGAACTGAAAAAACAAGCTCTGCACACGAGCAACATATTTTGGCTTCAACAAATTAAATATTTACAATGACTTCAATATCTTATAATGTGTTTGTGATATATTTAGCTGAAGGAAATGGTAATATGTGGGCCGTAACACACAACAGAAACTCACAAAATACCATATGAGGCCTAACACTCACTGGGGCCTCATGGCTGCCTAACTCACCTAACTGGAGAGCAGGGCCTGTAGCATGTGGCAGGTGGCAGAAGGCCACCATCAGAGGGCTGCCCACTATTAGGAGGTGTGAGGAGCGACAGCAGCCAGACGCTCTACACACTGCCACAGATTCGGGGGAGGGAAAGGGAACACCAGCATGGGTGCCGAGCATCACATAATTGTTGAAATCTTGGGCAAAGGTTGTATCTGTGAAGGAGGTTTGCACCAGCCATCTGTGCAATCCTTTAGGAAGCTACTGAGAGAGGAAGCAGGAAATCACATTTTTAAGCTCCTCATTTTGTCAGTAAGGCTTTATCACACCCCACACCGCTGATCTCTCTTGGATAGAAGGAGAAGTTGATACCGCTCTCAGTAGTCAGTATCAATGGACCACCAGTGTAGGTGGCCTAACAATTTCTTGTGCTGGTGTGAGAGAATATGGGGAACAAAGAGGGAAATAGAGAATTAGGTAGAGAGGGTGATGACCCTGGCGGGTGGGATAAAACTGAGGAAGATAAGATGGAGCTGGGGAGAGAGTTGATCAACTTGGGGGAGAGAAGAAGATGGAATTAAAGGGAGAGAGAGAGATGAAGCTGGGTGGGAGAGAGAGAAATGCAGCTGGGGAGAGAGAGAGATGGAGCTGGGAAGGGGAGAGAGGCTGATGGGACTGGGGAGAAATGGAGATAGGGAGTTGGAACTGGGTGTAGACGGAGATGGAGCTGGGGGGAGATAGGGAGGTGGAACTGGGGGTAGAGGGAAAAGAGGTTGTGTGGTAGAGGGAGATGGAGCTGGGTAAGGAGAGGTAGATGGAGCTTGAGGTAGAAAGAAATGGAGTTGGGGGGAGGTGGAACTGGGGAGAGAGGAAAGCATGAGAGGGGGATGGGGATTGGGGGAAAGAGGGAAATGGAGCTTGAGGGGAGAGAGGCAGTTGTGAAAGAAGGATGGAGGGGAGAGAGGGAGATGGAGCTGGGGGAAGAGAGGGAAACACTGTCTGTAAGCAGAGGCTTCCAGGGCACCAGGGCAACCTTCAGGAGGGTAGAGTCCATAATCTGTTAAAAGGACCGGCCAAGCTTTGGAGCCCACAACAGGCCCTGTAATGCTACTTGGTCTGGTTGGGCACCAGACCACATTGCGGAATCCTGGTGATAGAACGGACGGACCCCTTACAAGGTACATCCTCTCCACATGAATGGCTGCACTAGGAAGAAGTGATGTCCAATCTATTACTCCCAGTGCTCAGAGTACACCATGCAGATCTTTTCTTTGTTTGCCTCTCCCATCACCAAATCCTTCCACTCTGTTGGCATTTCACTGTAATATCAAGGTGAGTTGTCACATTCTAGAGTGAAGAAACATGGCAAATAAGCAGAACTTTAGATTCTCATAGTAAGCTTTCTGAAAGAGATCCAAATGACATACACAACACTAGTTTGCTTGGTAACCCATTTTGCAATCCATATTCCTTAAAATCATAAATGGACACTGAGTGTATAGATCATGTCCTGTTAGTCTGCTCAGTTCTCTTCCATTTAGGAGTTAAATCACTTTGTTTATGCAGCCCTAATCACACCTCAATTGCATGTGACTTACACAGCCTTCCTAAACACTTCCTGTAAAGTGAAATCTAATGTTTACACTTCCTTTATTGCACAGACAGTTTAATCTAGAATTTCTGATCTTCTGCACTGTTAAAAGAACACTATAGAGTTAGGAATACAAAAGTGTTCCTCTATAGTGCTATAGTGTCCTTATGCATTTAAATTATTATCTAAGGCCCCCCGCCAAGAAAAGGGTTAAAAAAACAAACACGTTAATCACTTAAGTGATTCCAGCACTGATATCCCTCAGTGCTAAGTCGGTCTCCTTCTCCTCCATTGTCGGCGATCCAGGGGACCTTGATGCGCATACATGACCAGCTTCACTTGCGCTTTGGGTCTTCCCTGTAGGAGAGCATCGATTCAATGCTTTCCTATGGGAGATTCCAATACAATAGACAGTGTCATTCAAAGAGTGTGAACGTCCAGCATTGTTTCACAAAGTCAAATTTTGTGAAACTCCAGGGAGGACCTCTAGTGGCTCCTTGGTAGACAGCCACTAAAGACCGCCTTAACCATTTAATATAAACATTGCAGTTTCTCTAAAACTGCTATGTTTTACATTGCAGGGTTAAGGGGACAAGGACAGTGCACCCACACCACTTTAGGATATTAAATAGTTTGGGTGCTTATAGTGTCCGTTTAATATCTTGACCGTGCAGGAGCATCCTGTGTGTGATTAAAGTTCAATTCACAGAGCAGGAGATAAAATCTTGTAAAGTAAGTTAACATCTGATTGAAAATGAAACCATTTTGTTTTCATGCAGGCTGTGTGAGTTGAGCAATAAGACTTCAGAGTCATGACCTATGAACAAAAACCGCTTCATTAAGCTAAAGGTGTTTTGGTGACTATAGTGTTCTCTTTAAACATCTCCTAGTGTCAATATGACATAAATACAACATCGCATGAGATGATGTCTGCCGTTACCTAGAACTTTCAACCGATGATGAGAAAAATTCTAGGCTGCTGGAAAACCATTAATGTTTCTAATTTGTTATTTTAAAAGGCATATATATGACTATGCAGGCCAGGTCACCTGGAGCAGGCTGCCAATTCAGGTTGGTCACATGGAACTATTCATCGTCTCTGAACTCAGTCGCAGCCAGTCAAATCTTTAACCGGGCAGCAATCCTCAATCGTGCAGAGAATCAGGGCGCCGTTTGAACTGTATACAGCTTACAGTTGACTGGTTAAGCTATCTTGTGATACCTGATATGTTGAGTTACTGGTGGAGAAATTTATGTTTTGGGGTGTTTTATTAATGTGCCCTGATGTCTGGAGGTTAATTAGATTAGTGGTTCTCAGTCTAGTTATCTCCCAAACACAGATGCTCCTGGGACCTACATTGTTTCAGTTAATGACCCCTTGCTGGGGTCCTGTGATAAATGTCACCAATAAACGTAGCCCTATTTTCATCCTTCATCAAGTTTGGGGTCGACGACTCTATCACAGATGACTCTGCAGAAAAAGGAGAGAGACTTTAATGGAGATACTCTGGTCGAGTATTGGAGTTCTGCCACAATGACAAAGTGTCTTCTGTGTATCTTTTGATTTCACTGGAATTCCAATGAAATACCAAAGCGACAAAAGGGCAATTTACCATAGTGATCTTATCTTTATAAAAACAATTCACAAATGACAGGTCTTTAAACATACAGGTGCTTCATAGAACATTTTGAAGTTCCGATGGTCTTCCAGAGTTGGAATTAATTTGTTGCAAAAAGAGTTTCTACGCAGAATCTTTATATCAGAATACAAAATCGTTATTAAACTGGCCCTGGTTATATCATTGGTTTGAAAAGTTCCAGATAGGTCTCTTACTCCAAATACTATTGACCCTTGCTGTTCATTTATAACAAGACTGTCTGGGACATTTCAGGTGCATTTCGGAAAGTCAAATTCTTTATCTTGCTGTCCATCTTTGGTTATCATTAGTGATGTCCCGAACGGTTCGCTGCGAACGGTTCGCCGCGGACTCATCATTGAGTAAACTTTGACCCTGTACCTCACAGTCAGCAGACACATTACAGCCAATCAGCAGCAGACCCTCCTTCCCAGACCCTCCCACCTCCTGGACAGCTCACTAAGAATGCAGCTTCACAATGGATGCTGTCCCGGAGGTGGGAAGGTCTGGGAGGGAGGGTCTGCTGCTGATTGGCTGGAATGTGTCTGCTGACTGTGAGGTACAGGGTCAAAGTTTACTCAATGATGAGTCCGTGGCGAACCGTTCGCAGCGAACCATTCGCAGCGAACCGTTCGGGACATCACTAATGATAACCAAAGATGGACAGCAAGATAAAGAATTTGACTTTCCGAAATGCACCTGAAATGTCCCAGACAGTCTTGTTATAAATGAACAGCAAGGGTCAATAGTATTTGGAGTAAGAGACCTATCTGGAACTTTTCAAACCAATGATATAACCGGGGCCAGTTTAATAACGATTTTGTATTCTGATATAAAGATTCTGTGTAGAAACTCTTTTTGCAACAAATTAATTCCAACTCTGGAAGACCATCGGAACTTCAAAATGTTCTATGAAGCACCTGTATGTTTAAAGACCTGTCATTTGTGAATTGTTTTTATAAAGATAAGATCACTATGGTAAATTGCCCTTTTGTCGCTTTGGTATTTCATTGGAATTCCAGTGAAATCAAAAGATACACAGAAGACACTTTGTCATTGTGGCAGAACTCCAATACTCGACCAGAGTATCTCCATTAAAGTCTCTCTCCTTTTTCTGCAGAGTCATCTGTGATAGAGTCGTCGACCCCAAACTTGATGAAGGATGAAAATCAATGATGAGTCCGCGGCGAACCGTTCGTGGCGAACCGTTCGCGCCGAACAGTTCGGGACATCACTAGTTATCATATATCATTCATATCGTTCCTACCAATATTCATTATGTCACTACGATACCGTCTTTTCTCTCCTGTCATTTCTTGTTTTCTTTTGCCTTTTTTATTATCTCTACTTTCTGTCTAAATGGAATGTTATGGCTTCCCCATTAAATGCTGGTGAATATGATGATTTCAATAGACTTGAAGGGTTACTTCAACCCTTTTTTGTCTTCCTGATTTTTTCGAAATGCTGTAAAATAAAACTATAACTTACCTGCAATCCAGAAGCAGGTCTTCCGTGACCGCTCTGACTTCAGGCTGTGTCACTCCCTTCCTCTATGTGGTCAGGACAAGTGCTTCTCACAGAGGCAAAAGGAAGGAAGGAGTTGGGTTGATATAACAAGGGAAGTAGGAATGAAATATATAAAAAATATAAAGTTACAGGAAAAGCTCTACTGAAAAATGGGTAATAAGTGTGTGGTTTTATAAGATACAGGGTGCTCTTAAAGGAAGAGAATCTGTTCCCATACCAGATATATACATGTAATAAAATAAAGAAATGATCCCAAGGCACACCACAGTTTTGCACATAAAAAGAGTATTTATTTATTCATGCATTGAAAATACAACAAGATATCATTATAGCAGAGAGAAAGTGCATAGTATAGGGTATTGGTCAGTATACCTTTTTTAATGGGTTTTTGCATTTAGCACTTTACTTACATTGTGGGTTTGGTACTATATATACTGGATATCTTGTTGTATTTTCAATGCATTAATAAATACTCTTTTTATGTGCAAAACTGTGGTGTGCCTTGGGATCATTTCTTAATTTTTATTAAATATTACAAATATAATACTGATACTAATAACCAAATGTAGGTAGGCGGGAGAGCTATAGAGAGGTGGGATTGCTTGGACAGGTCTAAAATCAGATATGAAAGTAGAAAGAGGGGGGGAGATAAATGTTTTCTGTTGCGGGCACTGTTTGTATGAGTAAACAGACGCTGACAAAATATGGGTTGTTTTTTTTTTGCACAGAATTGACATTTGGAAATCCGAAATAGAGTTTCAGTTTGCCAAAAACAAGTGAGGCAGGTATGCAACTAGCCACTGGCACAAAACTGCAGATTACCCTGTATGTGCAGTGTTTTAAGGAGAAACACTGCACATACAGATGCCTACCACCATAACCACTTAAAATGACTGAAGCGGCCATGGTAGTTGGAGCAACGCTTTAGAGAACATTGAGCAAAGATACACACAGAAACACATCATATTTTAAACGTTTCCAAAAATACTTGATGTTTGAGCAGCACACTTTAAATCTAGTGCATCCTTGGCTGGGGAGAATAGCAGTTTCTGGCACGAAAAAGGTTAAAAGATTAGAGCAGTCAGCATTGCAGACACTTCAGGTTCCGCAAGAGGATCGAAAAAATGCAAACTGTCTTGTTTCCTTTGTGTGGGAAAGTCAGAACACTTGGGTCACATACCTGACTTAACCTCTCTTGTGATGAATATTTCCCACAAATTCCATTTTTTTTCTTCTTAATCTTGCATTTAACCTTTTCAGTACCTGAGGAATGAGCAAAGCTGTTACTTGGTCACTCGTCTTGACATAAGAGGGTTACTTTTTGTATAACGTTTTCAAATCCATAAACATGTTATCATTATCATTAGGCAACATTTATTGACGGGGTGGAGGTGTTGTTACATATCGAATTGTTGTTACATGAAGTATTAACGGGATTTTCAAAAGTCTACCAAACTATGATCTGATACTTTAATCAGGGAATTTCCAAATATAGCTGCAGGGCTAGACAGTGAAACCGTAACTTGTTTTATTACGGGAGATTGGTCGATAAAAGATGAATATCTTGGGATCTTTCGACATCAACATCATATCAGCTTTGTTTTAAGGTGTGCAGCCTTGTAACTGTAAAACGTGACTGAGAAATTAGATACATAGTCTTGTTAGGACAGCAGGTGCCCAACCCAACTCTACAAACACGGTTTCTTCTGTTCATTGTTGGAAATTATGCCTCGGAATGGCTCATATCAATGATTTTACAGTATGTTTTTATTGCAAGATGTTAGGGGGTACAAGCACAACCAAGCTCTTCCATCCCATCGTACGCTACCACTACTTGGTGCAACATGCTCCATCAGCAATAGATGCATAGCACAACTTTTTAAACCAGTGCTGAAGGACAAACAGTTGTCCTGGTTCTACTAGATTTCTTGAAAAAAAAAAAAAAAGTATAATGCACACACTAAAAAGGGGAATACTTCCTGGAAGGTGCTCCAGAAAGGTAGGACCTATCCCTGGAGACATCAAATTGAAAAAAATAATAATATCCAGGCACACCTGATGTTTCTTCTAAAAGGCAGTATCACAGAGGAGTCAAGTCTCAGAGAGGAGTCCAAACGTTGTCTGCACTTTCTTGTTTCAAATAAAAAGACTGCTCTTTACAAGAAACATTTATTTTATTTCTTCTATATTTCTTTGTCACAGAAGTAAATGTTTGCTAATTTCCTTAAAAATAAACATGGCTAGAAGACAGTGGATTTCTGTAGAAGAAATTTGTTTGCCAAATCAACTTACGGCCCTCTCCACATGACTGAAGCTCTCTCTAGATAACTTACCACTTTTTCTTTGACAACCTCCCCGCTGAACGTATCTCAAATTATACAGATACGACTCCACAAAGGAAACGCGTGTATTATTAAAACATTCTCGTGCTGTATTGTTTCAGCTCTAAAATAAAATAATATATACATATCAGTATATAATATTTCACATATTTTTATTTAAATGTGTAGAGTAAATCAACATGTGAGAAGCTAAATTTGTTAAATGACAGACTGGTGGTTTAACCTGCCATTACGTACAACCATGGCTGTTGAACGGAAGAGATAGGAAAAGGACTGTTGTGTGTACTTTGTAATTTCTAAGCTGAAAGTGTTAACCGAGCAGGTAGCATGCAAGCCTGCCTCCCTCTAAGTTACATTTTAAACCCGGGAGGAGCAAGGCAGGTCGGGTGCAGGTCACAGCGTGGAAGAAAAATTAGCTGAGGAAGCAGAATCCATGCCAACAGCAAAAGCCAAACAGCAACCAAGAGTTTTAAAGACACAGCCTTCGTGAAAAGGTCCATCTGTCACAAGCTGTCCTGTTTCGCCTCTCGTTTCTCTTGCTGAAGTCCAAGTTCTAATGACACAGGTAATTGCGGCTGAGTGGCTCAGCATTGTGTCAGCTCCTCTCGTTACTGGTCGACGCTGATTAGTGAACTAGAAAACAGAAGTTCGCTCCAATCAAGGCCGAGTCTGATACATAATTAAGAAGACTAGATTGAAAAGTTCAAGATTCCTACTTGGCTAAACCAATTCACTATTCGTAAAGATAGATTAGGGGCTTGGGCCGCTTGGCACTATTCTACAAGTGATTCAATATGCAATAACCAGAGTGACATTAGGATCCTACAGAGCCATAGACAGGGTTCCAGTTCACCCCCTACCACTCTACTCAGTTTCCTCGAGCCCTAAACTTTCAATCGTTACTCAAAGTGTTATTGTAGTACAATCTATGTATGTGAGTGGAATACAACAAGTCTTGATTTAAAGGGGTAAATGGAATCTGTGGTCAGGTCTCTGTCTGGGCCCTAGGCAGCTTCCTTGGGTCACCTTATTGTTAATTCGGCTAAAAGGAAAACTAACGTATTTTAAAATGAGTCCGTTCAAGGATTTTAATATTATTACTGGTCTGGTATGTATTAAGATGGCAGATGTGAATCAGTACAGGTCATGGCAGCCTGATCTTAAAACACAGAAAGAGCATGCGTAGTTGTATTCTTCACAGAGATAACTTTTTTTTTTCTTTTCTAGGGGGTAACATGGATTTGGAAGCCCTGGAGAGTAGCCACAGTCCTGCTCTGGATAACCCATATGAGCGGGAAGGATGCACAAAACGTAGCACCTCACCACAGAAAGGGCACCCGGAAAAAGCAGAACTTTTGGCACTGGAAGTGAAGAGATCACAGCCTTTGCTTATACACAGCAGCAGGTGGGGGTAAGTCTTCAGCAGACGATGACTCGGACATGTTTCAAATCTGTTTAATTGTATTCCTTGGTAACTTTCCTGTGTCGTAGCTGTGAAAGACCAATTACTGTATATGAAATCACAATGATCGATTCTCTGATATGGTCATTCTCACTTATGTAGCACTAACTTTAGTCGAACTGCTAATGGTTAATAGGTGGATCACATTCCTTACTGTCATACGGTCTTTAAGGACCAGATGGCAGGGTTTGGTCCTGAAGGGGTCAAACATTCATTCGTCTCAAGCGTGTCTCTCGATGAGAAGCAGTTTCTCTTTAGAAATCAAAGCCATGTGTCTCGGTTTTTTTGTGATGTAACTTATTTATAAAGAACTAAAAATACGTAGTTTCAAAGAGCTCCAAAATTATACTAATTAAGAGTAATTCACAGTATAGTTACATGATAGATAGATAGATAGATAGAATAAAGGCTTAAAAAATGATACAAATCCATCTTTTACAGAACTCCACAGCAATAAATGAATGTGTGGTGTGTGTAAGAGTTCTACAAAACAAAAGTAATATTCATAGCAGTTTGTGCAGTGTATGAGTGTAGTACAGAGCTTCACTGCAATAAAACTCACTGTAATGTGCAGTGTGTATGAGTGTAGTAGGGATCTCCACAGCAATAAAACTCACAGAAATGTAATTCACAGTAATATGAATTGTTAATACGTTTTTAACAGAGCTCTCCTTAGCAATAAAATGCACATCATAATGAATTAAAACTATTGCAAACGTGCTTGGAAATTAGACATAATGACTCAACCTAATTGGTTATCAATAGGTCATGAAATCATCAACCGGGTAACAACACTAACGACACACTTACAATCAAAATGCTCTTTGGCCTTATGAAATGTTGAAAGGCATGCCCTATTACCTTTTTTAATTTTTAATTTTATTTAATAAACTGTAAATGTTATTAATTTAAAATGCAATAAAAGTAGTTACTCTAATGGAACAACTTTCTTTTTGAAAGCCAAAAAGCTTATATATATATATTTTTTTTATGATTATTTCTTTCATATTATATATATGATTTTCTTAATTTGTAAAAATGTTTTCGCAAAAACAAGTGTTCTTCCCCTTTTAATAAACGACTAGTTATTTCAATATTTTTGAAAATTACTCTATGCACTAGGGACAACCAAATAAACAAATGCTGAATATTCTTTACATTACAGGAGATTACGAGATGAGGAAACACGATCCTCATCGCTCCCCGACATCCCAAATCCATTCCCGGAGCTGTGCAACTCCTCCCCTATTTTAAGTAACACCCCAAATAGTCGTTCCCCGCAGGAAGGGGGGCCTCATGTAAGTACAGTACACCTTCAAGTTGTTCCCTTCAGTTATTTTTCGTTATTTGTTTTTCTCCTTTAGACTTTACTTCAGTTCCATTACAAAACGGGTTACAAAATGCTCTTACTAAAGGCCATCAAAGATTTTATCTAGCTACAATGCAGAAAGTGAGGTTTGAGAAATTGAAAAAGATAGGAGAACTCCATAAATACACTGCAACATTCTCCATTTCTTTGTTTTATGGACGGAGATAAGAAAATTGGTTATAGAGAATACTCGGTCCTTTGGTTGCCTTCCCAACGCTTTCTCCAAAAATCTGTTTTTCTCCTCTGTGCATACCTAAAACAACATCACTAAGCTAGTGGATGCCCAGTTCATTTTACTGAAAAGTCTCTATGTTCCACTACAAAAATCTCCTTGGTGTGTAGTATACCCGTCTAGGTGCACCACTACCTCTGACCATTGCAGGTCTCCTAACAGTCCCTCTTTTGGCAGTAGAGTCCTGATTTTGGGCTTCTGTCTTGCCATCCCACTTTAGTTCCCTGGTGTCCCATCATTAACACAGCATATGGCAGGAGACCTTCACTGTTAAAGGGACACTATAGTCACCCCTAACAACTACAGATTAATGTAATTGTGCTGGTTAGTATAATCAGTTTCTGCAGATATTTTCATGCAAACACTGCCTTTTCTGAAAAAATGCAGTGATTAATTGCCCCCTGGGGACACCTCCAGTAGCCACTCCTCAGATGGCCACTAGAGGTCCTTCCTTGGACAGTGCTGCACAGTGTGCAGCACTGCTGTTCATGGAGACGCCGAACTTTCCTCTTAGAGATGCATTGATTCAACCGCAGTTTGGCTCCTCCCCAGTCCTTCCTCCTTGCTCTTTCCTTATGAGGAAGCATTAGATTGTCTGAAATCCTAAATTCTGATGATGTCAGCAAACAGGCAGATCAGGGGGCGGATCCAGCGCCTGCAGACCAGCGCAGCACTGGAAATAAGGTAAATTGTGGTTTTAACACTATACGGTCTGGAATACAAATTTGTGTTCCAGACCCTATAGTGTTCCTTTAAGTATATTTTTTTATGGAAAGCAATTACAAAAAGTTTTTGTTTATTCACTAAACCATTGGTTTCCACACCTCCGTCAAGGCATGCCTACCACCAGTCCAGAATTTAAGGATTACTCAGTTATGTCAAGGTGTCTTTTTTTCTTTCTAAAAACACCTTAGGTGCAACTGGCTAATCCTTAAATTCTGGACTGGTAGACATGCATTGAGGACCGGGTTGTAAACCACTGCACTAAACCATGGAATTGTGAAAAATTGGCAGTTCATTACCCAATTATTTGTCCTGCTCGGCTATTTCACTATAACATTTTCACGATACTCAAAAATTCCTGAAATACTGAGTATACGCCAGGAATGTATATACGTATTTCAAAAATTGCCTTCTTAAGCAAGATAATTTCAAATAAAGTGAACTTTGACTACATTCCTAGTGATGATTATTTTTTAAGATTTCTAAAATTACTGCAGCTATAGCTACATCCATTCACTGAAATATGTCACAGAGAAAGCTTAGCACACCTCAACTACTAGTATGGTGTATGCTTTCATCAGTTCAAGGCTTCTATTGTAAAGATTTTAGGGGATGTTAAAGGGGCAGAATGAAACAGCACTGGAGAGAAGACTGTGGGGCTTAACTATTTGTGAACTTTTTAACCCCGAAAGGTAAGTCAGCGTCAGGGACCTCTTGGCACCATAACAACTTAATTTTAAAGAAGTTGTTATGATTCTCTGATTGTTCCTTTACGAACAGTTTGATATAGACCAGGACTCTTCTCACTAATAAGCACCATTCACTTTCAGTCAATTTTTGTCATCCAGGTTGGACAAAATCGACACTGACGAAATGGAAATGTTTTTTCCACTTTATCAATGTGGACAAGCAGGACACAGACCTTTGGAGCCGAGAAAAGACCTGGCTTATTTTAATTTGTTAATAAATGGTTTGCTATTAAACAGGGGGAAGGTGTCGGAACACTAGGCAACGTAGCAACTCCAATGAGCTATGGTAGTTACATTGCTTACAGCGTTCCTTTAACACAAGACAGAAAAAAAACTGCACCTCAAATTTAAAAAAACCCCCACCATTGCATCACATGTAACATCTGAAAATCTAAATTACCTTATTTCTGTGACCTTTTCCAGTGCTACTGGGAAATCCCTACACTAACTTTCTAAAATGTATTGGGGTCCTTGAAACCTGGGAAAAAAAGTCTATTTGCTACACAAACTACCTGACTAACCCTCCCGACACCACCCTAACCTTGCTTGTTATCCCTAATTCTGTCAGTGGTAAGAATAGCTAAGAGCCACTACACAGTGAGAGCATCTTACTAGGTTGCACTAGGTTGCACATCAACATATATTCTTAGTTACAGTGCACTCGACGTGGGTTTCAAATGAAATGAAAGTAACAATTTGTTATAGATGGGTTTACCAAAGCACCTGGTTAGTAAATATATCCGTTGCAATAACTATAAAAGACCAAAGAGCTTCCCGAGTTCTAAATGCTTACCCTATCCCTACAAATCGTGACCTCATCCTAGTTTTTTGTACTAAAGAGATAGATGTCTAACACAAGATTGTCAGTGTTAATGTGATGCGTGTATTTGTGTAATGTCAATACGTGTGAATAAAGAATGCGTCCCTCCACTTCCAAATACCCCTGCATCTCTACATACTTTGTATCTCTCACCATCAACCGCTCGTTGCTATCCCCACCTTCCTGCACTTTTGCCTCTCTCTTATCTACCCCCACTTGGGTCTCTATACCATCTCCCACCACTTGTTTTTCGTCATCTTTTTGTGCACTTCTCCATCTCTCCCCACAATTTTGTTCTCCATTGTTCACTGTTGTCTCATTTGCCCATACATTTCCACTCCTATCTTGACTCTTGTAGCTCGTTTCTCAGATCTCAACAACCGTCCCTTACTGCAAAACCATGGCAAGGCCTCACACAGCCCTGCTTTGAAGGCTTAGTCCACTAATAATTTAAGAGGACAATATACCTATTGCTTATCAAAAAATGAAATAGGGCCAATCTATTGCATGGACCAGCAAAAGCCTACATATAGTATAAAATGACCAAGGACTCATTTTGTGGGACTAGGACCATGCATGGCTACTCTCTTCCCCGCCCACCAATGTTCCAGAAGGTTTTTAAAATTTTAGATATATCTTAGTACTCCAAAACATTTCGAAAGGCCAAGGAGGGACACTTTGTTTGGATTGGTGTCTGGAGATTCAGCTAGGGTCTGTGGAATACTGAGAATTTGTATCAATTTATAGATCATTGTTGGGAGGTATGTATTCAATCAGGATTGATTACAATATAGGATAAAATAGCACACACATTAAATGCTTTGATTTTGATGTTAGCTTCTAGTACAGAAACCACAGTTACCAAAGGGGGAGGGGGTGTTAAAACTAAACTGCAACGCATAACACGAAAATTTTAATTCTGCAATATGATTGCAACCAAGATGGGGGCTGTCTCTGGACACAGAGAAGAGTCATGCATCATATCAAACCGTTTATAAACGTTTCTTCATTAGATCCAAGGTGGTACAAGGACTGAACAGGCAACTATTACAGAGAGCTTTACTAATGCTTGCTTGACTGAATCAACTTATATTACTTTTGAATATCCCAAAAACTCAATTTCTTCATCAGATCTACAATTCTACATCAAATGTTATCCTATCGTGTCCACATTATCATCAGCCCAAACAAATTCTAATTAAAGTCATGTAAAACATAAAGTCTTGGCTGTTGCCTTGACTAGTTTGAATTACTTTAGGCGTTGTTAACAATTTAATAAAGAATCCAAGATTTCAAATCTGTTTAATTGTATTTACTTATATTACATCAAAAGCAAGTTAATAGTTTTTTTTTTATCGTAGAAACATTGCTTTCAAAATTTTGTTTGAAATGTTTGAAAAAAATTACAATATGTGAATATTTATGCACAATGTAGCGCAAATAGACGACAGATATACCCACTTCTTTGAAAAAGTTGCATCTTACTGTCTAAAGTGTAACAGTTGCTGATACATTGCTGCTTGTTCACAAGAGAAGGTGGTGAAGGTGTACAGCGAGGATGGTACGTGTCGGTCCTTGGAGGTGACTGCGGGAGCGACGGCGCGGCACATTTGTGACATGTTAGTGGAAAGAGCGCACTGTCTAAGTGACGAGAGTTGGTCTGTGGTGGAGCTGCACCCACATCTGGGACTCGGTAAGGAAAGAATTTAAGATTGAACTACAAAAAAAATTCCAGCCTACAGTAACTGAGCAGTATACGGCTATAACCTGTCTGTCTGTGCATCCAGTGTTAATTTTGTCTACTAACAATTTTAGTCGGATTTTAGGCGACTACAATTTTTGAGATTTAGTTGACTAAAACTAGACTAAAACAATTCAGATGACTAAAATATGACTAAAACTAAAATGGCTTTCTTGTCAAAAGACTATGAATAATACTAAATTGAAATTTCTCCAAAATTAACCTTGGCGTGTGAGCGAGCCACAGAAGGCTTGGGAGACATACACCTAGAGGGGCTAGGGACACAAAGAAAAACAGGGGGGCTGGGGAAGGGGCACCAGGGTTTGGGAGAGATACACCTAGAGGGGCTGGGGAGGGGGAAAAAGAGACAGATAGAGGCTTTAACTAAACCCATTAGATTTTGGTTGTGTTGACTAAAACCTACTGGAGATTTAGTTGACTAAAACTAGACTAAAAATAAAACAGTTCAGATGAATACGACTAAAAGTAAAATGGCTTTTTATTTAAAAGACTATGACTTAAACTAAACTGAAATTTGCCTCCAAAAATAACACTGCATCCATCTATCTGTTCATATGGGCAGGTTGACTTTACCTCTGGTAGTTTGCCTACAAATTTAAAATCACAAGGTAACAACATATCTTCCAACGTGTAATTTGGTAAAGTTCACAGACTTCAGCCATGCTTATGCATTTTACATGATTCTCAGACATTGTGCTTATCCTTATTAATTATAAATGGGGAGAGGCCTTATTTCACCCTTCCCGTGTCTCATATTTTATGCACAGGCGGTATAATCGTGGCCGCTTACCTGAAACTGTTTATTATGCCATGACCTTGTCTTTCGGGTGGTGCAACGTGATTTTTTTTTCAAGTTTTGTGGTAGCATATTTGCAACTTCATTTAGGTACATTCCCTAACTGTGATTTTTCTTGTAAAAAAACTAATTTTGCGATGGACTGTTTGAACCACACAATTTAGGTTTAGTTGTGGTTTTGGACTAGATTACTATGCAATTCTTTTGTGCTTGCATGACAAACTCCCCGGGAAATACAAAGATGCTTTACTCATATTTTGGGGTCAAAAATAGCATATCTTGCCTTTAAATTAATATGTATGGATCAGGTTTTCAGATGATTTAATACTTTTGGATAAACGTCTAAAATTGTTTAATGTTTTGAAAAAAATAAAAATTAAAAATAAAACAACATATAATTTCTTGCAGATTTATCATCTACTTAAATGAGGGTATTGAGTATAGATATCATGTCATTATGCAGGTTCCACCACAGAAACAGAATTTTTTTAATAAAAGTATTAGTATTAGTTAATAGTGATGTCCCGAACTGTTTGCCGAACGGTTTGCGAACGGTTCGCCACGGACTCACCATTGAGTAAACTTTGACCCTGTACCTCACAGTCAGCAGACACATTCCAGCCAATCAGCAGCAGATCCTCCCTCCCAGACCCTCCCACCTCCTGGACAGCTCACTGAGAATGCAGCTTCACAATGGATGCTGTCCAGGAGGTGGGAGGGTCTGGGAGGGAGGGTCTGCTGCTGATTGGCTGGAATGTGTCTGCTGACTGTGAGGTACAGGGTCAAAGTTTACTCAATGATGAGTCTGTGGCGAACCGTTCGGCGAACAGTTCGGGACATCACTATTAGTTAATTATTAAAATCCTACATAGCCGCCGTGCCGCGGTAGAAGTATCTCCATAGTTGTTTCAGCATTGTAAAATTATCTGAATTGAGTAAAGAACAATTACCAATTATTTTAATAATTCACTGCTTTGTAGTCCTCCAGTCTTTGGTGACTTTTTTTTAACCTTGTTACAGATGAATATAAATGTTCAGTTGTGAATATATGTATTCCTGTGTGAAGTTCTACGCTTCACAAGGCTGAATTTACATTTGAGGTGTTTGTAGAATTCTAAGGTGCGCTCTCCTCTCCCCCCTCCCCCACCTGACCCCCTCCAAAAAAAAAGAAAAAATGCAGGTAAAGCGGGTTTAATTCATTTATAAAAAACACCTAAATAATGTGTTTCTGTAAGTATAATGAGTGTATGCAGCTGTGTGAATGTATGCAAGATTAAAAATAATGTAGCGGTTAGAAGTGGTTAGGGTATGAGGGGTTAACGAGGGGTTAATGGCAGAGTTAGATTGCATACCGTGTTTAGTGTTAAGAGGATTAAAAGCTTGAGAGGGGTTATAGTTGTGGTATAAAAGGTGTTGAAAATGATTGGGTTTAGGGTTAGAGTTACATTTTGTATTGTGGTACATGGTGTGTTTAATTCCTAAAATAAGTTAAACCTAAGATTAAGTTAAAGAGATGTGTTTTAGGATTAGACTTTGAGTGCTTTTATTTGTCTAGGTTTTGGGAAAGGCTAAATTTAGGGGGAAATGGGTATTTAGGATACAGGCATGTGTAGGTTAAAGTGTTATTTGCAAAGTACTCACCCTCCTATGATTGACATCAGAACGGAGGAGCTGGTATACAGTGTGCATCACTCAGTGCTGTTCCTATTTCTCCTGCAAGGCATTTCCTGTTTGACTTGGGCATCCATTTTTGGACAAACACGGTTTCGTCCGAATTTTTGGCAATTTGTTCATTCGTCCAAAATGGACAAAGGCAAATTACAACAATGAAACAAAGAATGAATTGTGTGTTAGGTGAAATTTCGCTCATGCAATTCATTATTTGTTTGTAGTTATTGTAAGGAGGAAGTTACCAGCTCACAGCTCCCTATTTGTAATACTTAAAAATAGAAGCTTCCTAAATCGACCCATGCTCCCCCTTACCCTTGGCCTAGGGGAGTCAATATGACCCCTATATTGGTAAAAGAAAGGTTTAATCATCCCTCCTGTTTCTATCCGCCATGCGGTGTGTAAGGGCATGACTGCTAATCAGCGAGCAGTCAGTGGCTTCTCGCTGTCATCTAAAACAAATTAATATCTGAACTTGCAGGGTAAGGAAAGCCTTATAAAGGCTGCAGTTTGAATCAGAGCACTCTGATTGGTTGAGTAAGCCAAGGTAAGAGTACTCTGACTGCTTACCTATCAGTCTCAAGAGCAAACAATCAGAGCACTCTGACTCAAATTGCATGGCGTGTCAAATTAAAGACCATGCAAGCTCAGTCTGTGTGGCGCCCTCGCAGGGTGAAGATGGACTGTTTTTTTGTTTACACTATGCCGCCGCCCATTTAATTATTTTAATAAGTCACCCACTATGGGAGACCTATGCTAGGTTCCTATTTATTCATTTATTGGATTATCGACTGGGCAGCAACATTTTTGCCAGACGTTAGGTAACTGCCTGGTAATTCAGGAGTTCAGGAGGTGAATGCAATGTAAGAAGCAGATGTATAAAACATTACACGAGGCAACTCTATGGGAGAAATGTATCAAAGTGTAGATAAACAGTATACATAGAAATAGAATGTGTCTGTAGCTGCCATTGGTTTCCATGGTAACTGCCACACTTTTAGTAGCTTTGATAAAACTTGAGCATTTCTGGCCAATGCAGCATCTGTAAGTTGGGGGATCTTGTATGCAATTGAAAGGCATTAAATCCCTTTTGCTTGAGTTATGTCACAAATCCACACATTGATGAAGGGGCCACAATCTTTTAGGGAGGGATTATTATAGGAGCCACGAAGCTTTGTTACTTGTAATTCCATCTGCGGTGAATGTATATAGCTGTTTCAATTTGTACCATTACATATACATGTTTATGTGTGTATGTATAGATTTATAAATATATATTTTACAGAGAGGACAAGTCTTACAAACACAGAGTCGCAGGCAGGGGGGGCGTGCAATATTAATAACAACCAGTGTTATAACTAAAACAGCTGCAAACACTTCACACTCTGTGCAAAAGTTGAAGAACATAAAGCAAAATTAGTACTAAGCTAGAAACCTTATAAAAGTGAACACATTTTAAAGTGCAACAAAAAAGTGCAACTTCTTTTATAAATTAAAAAAATACTATAATCTAATAGCTTATACAACAAAGTGTTTCCTTATTCATGTCCTAAAAAAGAAAAACAGCACACATGTCCATAGTGCATACTGTTTAACTTAAAAGAACATCCATATCCCTCCCCCGCCCCCGCAAATGGTGCAACCAGAGCCTATTTGGTACGTACCTATTTTATGAATGGGGAGCTACCGATTGGCTTGCAGGATCAGTTGACTGCTTTAGTCAATCAGGGACGTCCCTGCTTGGCGGCACTATGCTGTTCCTGTAACTCAGGTTCAGAAGCCAGATGCCACCTGGGGGAACTGGAGATCAGCGCTGGAGGCAACATTTGAGAATGGTAAGAGTGAGCCCGGGGGGCTCTTAACACCATAGCAACTTCATTTAGTTGAAATTGTCATAATGACCGGAGTGTACCTCTAAGCTCTGTAGCAAATATCACACTTATCTTATATGGCCTTACCTATGTTCAGATGGTAATCAATTCCTGATGTGGGGGTTACCCATTGATTTTACCAGTTGGATCACTTATATGGCATGCCATAGTCTTCTAGGGGTATTTCTTATGTTTCTTTGCTATTTTGTGATCAGCTATACCTGAGCCATCCTCCTTAATGCATACCTCTTAGAAATTAGGAAGTTTATGGGTGTTGTTCTGATAGTTAAATATACTAGGTCAACAAGTTGTGTCATGGTTCATGACTAGGAAATTGTATCATGGTGTGACTCCAAAGTGAACGCATCATAACAAATCTTAAAGGGACATTTCACTGCCGAAATAATAAAAAACGCTGTTGATCTATTGCTTGCAGCCCTCATAGAAGGCTAGTTCTAAATGTGTATATACATAAAAACACTAAATTTTTGTCTTGTTCTAACATCTTTTGATTTTTCACAGAGCGCTGCCTTGAAGATCACGAGTCGGTGGTAGAGGTTCAAGCAATGTGGCCTGCGGGAGGAGATAGCAAATTCATCTTTCGCAAGAACTTTGCCAAGTACGAACTGTTCCGAGGATCCCCTGTGAGTATAGAAAGTTGATTGACTGATTCAGACCTGCTCTGATTAGTTAGCATTTGTTTGTTTTTTCCACACATATTTACTTTTGGAAATTTTTGACGATTCTGTAGTTGTAGGTATTCTTCTTCAAACAGTTATTTACCGTTCTTGGTAGGAATCTTATCTCCTCAATTCTGTCTTTGCTGTGTAACAGTGGCACATTATTGACTTCATTATCTTCGATCTATGAATTATTCCTGATTTATTGTATCAATAGATGGATGAATTTGTTTTAAAGTTAACAAAAACACTTCACATGTTTGCTAAGAGTAAAAAACGTAAGTTTGGAGTCATGACCAAATTCCTTTTGAAATTAGCAGATATATGATATGCATTGGGAGTATGCATATCAAAGCACTGTTACTTTAATTGTATAGTTTTGGCACTGTACTTCTTTGAATTGTGTTTTTATTACATACATTTTCATGATATATACTGTATGCACAATTCTCTCACAACAGATTAATTAAATAGTTCATTTAGCATTAGAACTATTTAATTTGTGTCCCATGTTAAAATTAGTGTAGGACCCACCATTATTAGGGGCATGCGTCATAAAGTTGAGCTTAACACAATATAGCCGTATGGTGGAACTGAATCCCTATTTACTTGCTTGCTAAGGTAGGTGATTTTAAGTAGCCTTCTAAAATGTAAAACTGTATTTTTATGTGTGAGCTGTTCCTTAATCTGCATTATTTTTGCTAAGAGTGTAATTTTGCAACTGTAACTTTCCGTCCCATAGTATTCATTGTTTCCAGAGGATATGGTAGGAGGAAATGCAGAGACGCACAAAGGACTTTCTCACTCGGAGCTGATACAGGTAGCTTATCTGATTGATGACACAGAAATATGTTACGGTTTTAATCTTGTATGACCCTTAATACAGAAATGCACTGTTTAATAGTTCTTTGTTTTTAGACGTTGTTGTAGGGCTTCAGGGCTTTGCTATCCATGAGTCAGAGTATAAATAGTTTATATAAACCTAGACCATTGAAGTCACAGTTCCTGGAATATTTGATACTGAAACCTGCTGGATATTTTTTTTCTATTAGAACTTCTTGAATCTGGGTAGCTGGCCAGAGATTCAGGGATTCTTGCACATGAAGGAAAGCGGACGTAAGGTCTGGAAGCGATTCTTCTTCTTCCTTCGACGATCTGGCCTCTACTACTCTACCAAGGGAACTTCTAAGGTACGACTAAAATACCTGAATGACTGTAGCTGAAGAATTACATAATTTTGCAAGCAGGTGATTTGTAATAGAGCACTATCTAAGCTTTCAGAAGAAAAAAAAATAACTTGACATTCTTTAAAAAGACAGGTGCATTGTGCAAAATATATTTGCGGACAGTCAGTTGTGTAACATTGATGAAGACATTCTATTGAATGTTTGTCCAAGAAATGGGTTTGGTCTACCTGTTCTAATCTCTATTCCATGCTGAGAGTTCCAGAACTTCTTTCACATCACAAAATCAATAAAACACAGTCAATAACTGACATCAACTATTAAAGAATATTGCTGTTGATATTGCCTAATCATCATATACAAATTGCTAAAGGCGCCAGCAGTCCTATTCACTTAATGTTGAAATTGTAAGCATAATTTTTACCAATATTTCTTGGCAATTGCAATTTACTCAATTGTAGTTGTACTCAGTTCTGCTGAGTATTCTATTCTATTCCTTCATTCAGTCAAATGTTACCCAAATTAAGCTGTATAGCCTAAGGGCACAGTGAGAAAATATTTACATATAAAATGAAGAGGTGCCCGGGATCCCCTAATATATGAGTGGGGCGAATACATGCCCCCTTATGGTACCATGAATCTACTGGAGCTGTCCACCTCATAAAAATCAAACTGTTTTCGGGTCAGGTCTCCTTTTATATTGCTAATGCAACAGTTTCTGTTTTTGTATTAGTTACATCAATTCCTCCTATACTTAAATGGAATTCATTTGCTGAAAGCATTAGCACTTTGTGCCAAATAACTATGTCCAAATAGAGATAAAATTTATTTATTTATAGGAGGGCACACTTCCACTTTAGATAGAGAAGTGGACACCAGACAGGAGGCACCCAGAGGACCCAAGTAAGGGTTAAACTGTTCTAAAGACTCTTTGACTCTTACCCAGTATAACCCCTGGCACCATAACCACTACAAAGAGCAGTTGTAGTCAAGTAGGGTTCAAGACTGACCCTGTAAAAATAAAATGTACAGCAACAGGTTTCTGAATCTTGTTCATTGTTTCTTCCTTCTTTCCAGGATCCTCGACATCTTCAGTATTTTGCCGACGTAAATGAATCGAATGCGTACTGCTTGACACAGGGAAAGAAACTCTACAATGCCCCCACGGATTTTGGGTTCTGTTTAAAAGTATGTTTTTGTGAAAGATATCAGCGATATAGTTCAATATATTTCTCTACTGCATTGCTCTCCAGAAAGCATCTCTTCAATTTCAGTGTTTAATTATAAAATGAATTCACTGAAGATGACCAACCCTGGCTCGACCTCCAGCGGTATAGGGTTAGCTTTGAATTCTGGACCTTGTAATAGACACAGAGGACTAGAAAGACTAGCTAACTATATGTGACTAGTTATAAGTTCCAGGTTTTTATTAAATCTACCTAATGTTTCTATCCTCCACAGCCATTGAAAATACGGAGTGGCACCAAAGGTCTGAAGATGTTATGCAGTGAAGACGAACAAGCACGTACCTGTTGGCTTACAGCAATTCGTCTATTTAAAGTGAGTTTGTCAGCCATGTTCTTCCGATTCTCACTGAAGCAGCTTTGCAGGCGAATTACTTGGATTATTACATGTATTACAATGGTTTAACTCAGATGCATTGTGTAATGGTTGTTGACCTTCCTCGTTCAGGTATCCAAATTATGTATGTCGCATTTGCATGACAACCCATTTTTGAACTGTAAATTAGTTTGATAACTGATTCTGACATACAATAAAGACTAAAACACGTGCTAAGAAAAGCTTCATCAAAATAATCCCATTGCAAAGGGGGCTCCAGTAGAGTGGAAAAAGTTGATTAATGCAAAAACTCCTAGGGACCTACTGAACGTTTTTATGGGCTGCAGACCCAAATTTACGTTCTTACCCAAGAGTTCATAATCTACAGCTTCGGTATAATATAATACAATATAGTATAAAGACTTGGTGTTATTTTACAGCAATATAATTCAAAGTTAACTATGTTGCAGATGATGGGCTATAAATACATGTATTGTTTCTTTTACAGTATGGTGCTCAGCTATACAAGAATTACCAGTTGTCCCGACGCGGTCCACAGACTTGGGGGGAACACACAAAACCGGTAATACATCTTTGAATTATCATTCTTCTCAAGAACAAAACCTTAAGTGCATGACTGTATGGCATCAAATCCTCTCAATGAACACAGACAGGGTTATTCACTAAAGGTAGAATTAAAGGTGAATTTCAAATTTAAGTTCAAAATAGCAAAACTTGAAAAATTCGCCAAGGCAGCTAAGCTTCCAGTTCTGCTACATCAGCCTTAAATTTTAAATTCACTTTGAATTCTCACTTTATTTATAACTCTGATAATGTATGCATGCTGTTCAATAGGTGCTCAATCAACATGACCTATTTTACAGGAGCCTTACGATGTAAATTACAGATGTACTGGGTTTGCTCAATATTGTCTCAGGCAGTTTAGAGACTGATTTGCAAAATAAAAGTCTATAACATAATTACTAAACACAGCTTTAACCTTGTACTCTTCTCCCTACAGCGCAGTGCGTCTGACAGCACACTAGTTCCCATGGATTTTTCGGGGTGTACAGGTCGTGTGATAGAGAATCCTCTTGAAGCATTGTCTGTGGCCCTGGAGGAAGCTCAGTCATGGAGGGTAAGCTTTTTGATAGCACATTAAACATATATTTTATAGCCCATATATTACATCAGTGAAATCTCAAAGGAGGCGAGATTGTGATTCACAAGGCAATGTTTTATCCGCTCCTGGGCATGTTGTACCTCTATGGTTTTAATGTTCCATATCAGTGTAATATGGTCAAGCTACAGCATATTACTCCAAAATGTCTATGGCCCAACTCTCCTGGTTCTGCAAAGGTTGGACAGGTAGAGTCAGATTAAATATCTATCCAAAAAAAAAAACACTGATAAAATTAAGCAAAAGTCCATGTAACTCATAGGTAGGTTTTAAAATATAATTAAGCTACACTTGTTTACATTTTAAAATTTTTCAAACTTCCAATGGACAACATAGAAATATCATGTATCTCTGTTTGTTTTTTGTTTTATTTTTCCCCATCAGAAGAAAACAACTCATCGTTACAGTTTGCCTACCCCGTGTCAAACCAACCTGAGTAGTGCAGGTAGGTTATGAAGAGTCATATTTAACATCTTCTTAAAAATATGTATTAATAGGAAATCCTTACCTATTCAATTCCTTCCCTGTCAGGGATTCACAAAACTCAGGCATGGTACCATGGGCGGCTGTCACGAGATGAGACACAACGTCTTATAGTACAACAAGGAATGGTGGATGGGTAAGTGGTGGGATACCAGGTTTAAATGCCCAACACAATTGGTGATCTTAACTAGCTTCTTCATACTGTAACAATCCATTGAATTGCTTATAGTACCTTCAGTATTCAGTTAATAGAGGAGAGGGATGTCCATGTACACAAAACAGATGCCTGCAAATTAAAGTACTCACTGAAGAACAGGACAATTGTTGGGTTTCTCCATTCATCTCCACTAGGGTTTAAAAGAATAAAAACAGCTCACACGAGCCGAGGACCTAAAAATTACAAGAATTTATGGAGAACCTCCAAAAAGTTTTTATTTATTTATTTTTTTAATTTTTGTAATTTTCCATAGATCTCAGATTTCTGAGAAGAAATTTCTCTCTATCTAGAATCAGTGGCATAATGAAGGGTGTTGGTTCTTCTCCGACTGACAGCCAAGAGGGAGGTGCACACAGCATCCCCACCCAGCACTGTTATTGATTGTAGTGAGGTTGAGCATGAGGTTGAGGGAGGCTAGAGGGACATATGGAGGAGAGACACACAAGGGATGGAGGGGGCTGGGGAGACACACTGGAGTGACAGTGGAGAACAAAACACAAGTAGGTTGGGGGATTGGATAATCCATGGTTCTCCAAACTGGCCCTCCAGATGTTGCTGAACGGCAACTACCATGATTCTTTGACTGAAATAGATAGCTAGAGAATCATGGGAGTTTTAGTTCATCAGAATCTGGAGTGCCAACGTTTGGAGAACCTTGCAATAGACAACTAGGGAATTGTGCAAGAATAACATTCATAGGTAATCCACTGCAAAAATAAATAAAAAATAAAGTGTAACCACTACGTAGTTAGATGTGTCCTATTTCATATAACAATAGTGTTCTCTTTCCTCATACAGAGTTTTCCTGGTACGTGAAAGTACAAGAAATCCTAATGGTTTTGTCCTGTCCTTATGCCACATGCAAAAGATCAAACACTACCTCATCTTACCGGTATGTGCACTACAATACACTACATAACAGTCTAACACCGGGGAAAGTGTTAAACCCCTTCAATTGTTTTTTCTTTTCTTTTACAAACTGAAATTGATAAGACTTTATGGTGTGGCCCAATGCCATTAGTTCTCTGCACAACAAGATAACTCTTTTTAATGATTAAAACAATGTTCTATTTCATTCTTACAAAACAGTCACCCATTAACCTTCTTATCTGTACAATTTTTTATTCTAACCTTCTTCCTCTGTATGTGACCCTGGCAGCTCGATTCACTATATCCCATATAACTACTAGTATGTTGTTTTAAAGTTTATTTGAAATTTACTTTTAAAGGGGAAAAGTTATTTCCAATGACTTATAAAATGATGTTATATTTAGCCTATGTTTTGCGAATATGGGTTTGTGTTTGAGTGGTCTGAAAAAATAAAAATTAAAGAGTCACTTTAAGCTTCATCAGGACACTGTATAATTGCAAACTGGGTGGTCCTCAGGACACCCTGAGCCTACTCAGTTCAGAGAGTGACTTATGAGTACAGCATTTTTATGTTTTTATTTATGGCTTGTTCCAATACAGAGGACCAGCACAAATTTCAGAATGGTGCATCAAAATATAGTCATACATTGCATTGTCAGATAGCATGAGCACAGAATAATTTATATATTATATTATATTTAGGAACGTATGTACAGGCTAGAGGTGGACCACTATAGAAGCCCCTAAGTAAGCATTGTATAAGTATAGAAAAACATCTAGCTTAGTCTAAGCGGCATATGTCAGAAACAACTGACGTTTTACAGAGAGCAGATAGAAAATAAGACATTGCATTATACGAGAGATAAACAGGAGTCCCAGAAAAGCATAAATAGCTAGGCAGCAAGGGTTCCTCGTGCGACACCTGATCTTGAGTGTGTTGGCAATGTAGGAGAAATCTGATCTTATGCATGGGGCTGCCAGCCTCCTAGTTAATCCAAACATGGCACAGCAGTCGGGGCACCTGAGTTCGGCTCCGGTAAGTATAAATCTTCACCCATGATTGGGCCCTGTCAAGGAACAGTCCCAGTCTCCAAATTGTCAGGACATGAAGGCTGTAGAGGACCTGAAACCTGCGCACATGTCTGCTTCTGCTGGCTATCCATTCAGATATCTGCCCCGGAGTAGGCAGTCTACTGTGGGTACTGAACAGACACTATCTCCTGGGTATTCTGGCTAAATAGAGCAGTCTCTGAGCTCCTCTGTCAGTTTGATATCCAGCATAAGAAATCTTCATCTTGATGGAATGTCAAGATGTTCCAGACAGCAGGAGAGCGCCGCCTCTCCTGTGCCAACACAGCGAGTATGCCGTCAGGGAATTAGAGTGGATCAGCGGTAAAGCTCGATAATAAAAGTGTAAGCACCCAATAAGCAGGAGCATGGTTCTAGTAAAAAAAGTAGGCAACCCATCATTAAAATAGAAATAGAAAACTTCTGAGGAGCTATGGCACTGTGCGTCTGCTCTGCATGGCGACCAAGTCTCACCCCACTGACTTCAGCATTTTTAACCCTCAAAGCTGTAAATGTATATATATATATATATATTTATATGTAGTCAATAAATTGTTAAACACAGGTCTGCACACCAGTCAAGCCATAAGACTTGCTTTTCCCACAGAAATCTCCAGTTTGCATATATATAATATATATAGAAATTATTTTTGCTTTTGTATTTTTAATGTATAATTCATATAATTCATTAAACACAGGAGGCAATTCTCACCACATAGTTTCCATTTAAATGTAGAAATGTACGCTGTCATATGTACCCCTATCCTGGAATGGAGAGACAACATCTTGGCTCCCCGTCAATCATTCAAAAATCAGCCTTTACATCTGTCAGCAGAGAGCAACGGAAAATTGGGGGTTTTATATAAAGAATAATTTTGAGGCAGTTCTAAGTTGAAGCAATCAGCAGTGACATTCCATTGGTTTCTATAGCGACTGCACGATTTTTAGAACCTCTGTACTCATTAGCCCCAAAATTCCAATTTCTCCCCCAATACAATGGACTCTCTGACAATTCCATGACTGAACTGTATTGTAATGCACATGTAACATAAAGTAGAGCATTACATGATAAGAAATCATCACAAGCTAGAGATAATTATCAATGCTTTGTTAAATGATGACATCACCGGGAATGTTACAGTTCCCTTTAAAAGTGCTCTGGTTACCGTCTGAGATTTTTGCATATTTTGCAAGGACCCCAATGGTTACTGCTCTGCTTGTTGCCTGGCGACCAAAAGGTGCAGGGAATGGTGAACTTTACTTACCTGAAACTGTCCCATGTAACTGCTGCCATCCTCATCCAATCGGACCTGCTGGATAGACAATGCCTTTTTTCATACAGCCATCACTATTGATGGCTGGGGGTAAATGACAACTATGGAATGTAAGCTCGTTTGAGCAGGGTCCTCTCCAACCTATGGTTCCTGTAAGTTTTTTTGTAATTATCCTATTTATAGTTAAATCCCCCCTCTCATAATATTGTAAAGCGCTACGGAATCTGTTGGCGCTATATAAATGGCAATAATAATAATAATAATAATAATAACACTTGACAGTGGTAGCTCTGCCTTTAGTCAAATTTTGTCAGGTGTAGGGAATGTACTAAGACAATGCAGTTCCTAGTTTGTCTTGGTATAGATTTTGACGGTGTCGGAATTCCAGCACAGTCAATTTGAGTATTTCATAAAGCTTTCATAAAGCTTTTATCTTCATGAAATTCTAATCCTGGAGTGGGGTGAACCAGACACTTTAACAATAAATATAGCCTCCCCATCTCTGTGCTGCGCTCAAATGCTTCAAAAGAAATATCTTGAGAGATCAACAAACAGAAAACCATGGCATGGGTGAAACAATTACAAAAGCTTTGTTGTTTGTACAATGAATATTTTAATGTTTTGTGCTGTTTAATTATGAAATATTATGGACAGCATAAAGCTTGTGTTTCCTTTCAAATAGCCACGCACTACTTATCTTTATTTATAGCCTTCAGCTCAGTGATCACAGCAGTTCAGTGAAACACAATGCCAAACTATATTAAATATGTATGAGGACTGATTGCAAACCTCTAGTAACCCCTAGCTCTAATACCACAGCTTGACAGAATGGACAAACGTTTCTAACGATATGGACAACTTCCAACCTTTAAAGGGACACTTTAGGCACCTACACCACTTCATTGTCGTGGTCTTGGTACAGTGTACCTTTTGCACCTAGTGCTGCAATGTTAAACATTGAAGTTCCAGAGAAACTACAATGATTACATTGCAGCACTAAGTCTGCCTCCAGTGACTGTCTACCAGACAGCCACTAGAGGGCTTCTTGGATTGAAACGGACCTTTGGTCCGGTATCTGACGCTGGACGTCCTCACACACTGCATGATTAAATGCTACTAGTTTGCAAGTGGTAATTTTGAGTCATGTTATGTGTGGATTTCTTTAAGTGGGAGAGATTTATGGGATAAGATAAATAATCACAGATGTCTATGAGAAGGTCCTTATTGGTGGAGACTCTTTTTAGTCTTGGAATTGTTTGTCTGCTGTAGCTTGCTCATGTTCTTCTCTCTTTTTATTTATTGAATAATTTTTAATTGCATTTCCTATAACATGCAGTAAATAATTATGTGTATCCACATGCAGCTTTATAATGTTTCTTAAAGTTTTATCAGATTAGGGTGTTTGGAAGTTCTTTCTCAGTTACAATTATTCCCACCAGAAACTTTGGTACTTTCCTTTTTTTTATAGAGCCATGAAGGTATAGGCTACATCGTGTACGTTCATGTTTTGTTTTGTTTTATTTTTAGTGTGAAGAAGAAGGCAAACCATACTTCTCCATGGACGATGGACAAACAAAGTTTGTTGACCTTATTCAGCTGGTTGAGTTCCACCAGATCAACAGGGGTATCTTACCATGCACCCTCAAGCACTACTGCACTTCCGTGGCACTATGATCCAGTCTTATATACTCAAGATGAATCAAGTCCTCATGAAGGAAATGGTTAGCCTACCATGTTTTGGGATGGCTTTCCCACCATGAAAAATATAACGTGTCTACCATTTTAAGGACATTACAAATGCAGTTTCATGGATCGGTTGAGTCGAAGTTACTTGATTTCATGCCTGCATCGTCTTGAAGCTTACTCTGCGTTAAGCACTTAAAGCCTTCTCTGCGTGGCAGAATTTTTGTCATCCCGAGGAAAGAGGTTTTGGGACAGACAATTAATAAGCTACATTTTTCTCCTTGTTGGTACAAGCAACTTTGAAGACTGTTATGTGACAGTCTAGTGACATTAAGTGGCTCGATTCCACTTGAAGACAAGCTGCCTTGAATCTCCTGTTTCCCCTTAAAAGCTGACGGGAGTTGGGCACCCAAAGGTTCGAATAGGAATACTAAATGGTGCACCCGTTGATGAGAGCACTGTACTGTATATATTTACAAAAATGTCACATATTTTTTATGAAAAAAAATCTTATCTATATATTTTTGTCTTCTATTTTCTCTTATTTTTGTACAAAACACTCTAACCTCAAATCTACATATGAAGAGAAAATATTATTTATATATACCCAAGAGTCACTAAAATAAAAATAAAAAATATAAAAAATCACCCAAATGATTAATAAAGATTTATTTAAAAAAAATTTTTTTTGCACAAATGAAACACAGCAGCTAATTAAACCAAAATGGTGGCAATTTTTTTTATAGCATTTTCATCACGTCAGCTTTGTCACTTTATGTAAATCTCTCTCCTTTTTACATAAAACCATGTATATTACTTTGTGCTAATAAAATGCACACATCATTCTATTTGATTAGAGTGGATTCAAAAGCAAAATCATGTGCTTGAAGGAACACCTAATAAGGCTGCAAGTTTTGCATTTAACTGTTACCGCTCTGTTAGTGGAAGCATTTACAGTACTAGAACAGGTATCACGGTAATTCTCTAAAAAGGTTTATGGAGGATTATTACTGTGTTTTTACGGTCATGAATGATTCTTGAACATTTGTTAAAAGTACATTTTCAGTAAATCTACTGTTCTTTAATGTAAAGGCAGGTAGACAGAACTTGGGGCAACTACAGGCGTACGCTACACAATTATTGAATTGCTGCTGCTGAAGTTGACAACTAAAAAAAGAGTTTTGATTTGGCACAATATGTTTCTTTGTGTAAATTAAGCTATATATATATATATATATGTACTGATCAGCCACAACATTAACACCGCCTGCTTATCGTGTAAACACCCTGCGAGAACAGCTCTGATATATTGACGCATGCACTCCACAAGACATCTGCGTGTCCTGTGGTATCTGGCACTAGTAGCACATCTTTTAAATCCTGTAACTTGCAAGGTTGACTCTGTGAAACGACGCTTGACGTCCTCACGGCCTTGATGAATCCCCATAGGAAAGCACCTTCTGGGGAAGGCCTAAAGCAGGAATATGGTGAATGCCTAAAGCGTGCGTGCCACTTGTCGCTCATGCACACTAGGTCTCTCCATCGGCTGACGTTGGAAGAGGGGGAGCGCAAACCAGTGCTGAAGGACATTGGAGCTGGAGTTGGATAAGTGAATAAAGAGTTATTTAACCCATGGTGGGGCTTCGGGGGCAGAGGAACATGATGTTAGTGTTAGGAATACAGCTTTGTATTCATAACACTAAATATTGCTGACATGCTTAGAGAGAATTGTAGTATAGCACAGTATATTAAGAAATGTGGTCCAAGAAAACGGATCAAACATGGCAGCTCAATGACATAAGGGACATCAACACTATGAATACTAGAATGTCTGATGGAGTGTCAATGACAGAAATTTAGACAGATAAAATGACCGAAAGCACATTGGAGGCATGACTCTTAAAAAAAAGGATGTTATTAAGACTATTCCTTAAAAAAGGGGGCTACATTCGATGAGTTGGAAAACTCAAAATAGTTGCATAGAATAAAAATCCATAATTTGTCTAGAAGCAGAAGATGGTGGGGTTTTTTTGAGTCCTGAATAAGCAGATGGATTACTAAAATTGGGTAGCATATGAGAGCTTGCTTGGATTAAGTTTTTAAGCATGGGTGATAGAAAGAGAGGGATGACCAAAAAAGGGGTGGCATACTGGAGTCTGATTGAGTGAGGTTATTGCAGAAACATCTTTCTTCGGAGAGTGAGAAAATATTTTACAAGAGCTGAGAACTGTCAGTCCAAGAGACTGGAAGAGAAGCCAACGGAGATTAAATAAATCACAGAAAGACATCCTGTCCCGATCAATATCTCCACACATCACTTGATGAGAGGAAAGGTGTAAGAGTATCTTCTAGGCCTTTTAATATGAGAATAGAGAAGAGCACATGCTTTGGATTGAGCCAAAAGTGACTTATTATTGATAGCTTGTTTGTTTATTGCCCCACATGGAAGAAAGACAATCATTTGAGGCAACATCAAGAGAATGAACTGGAATGTGGAGGATTCAAAATCAGAATATGATCCTCAAAACAGAAGTCAATTTGAGAGCAAACTGTCAGGTCTTACATGAGGTGGGAGGCCGGTAGGCAGAGATTTGTGCTCACCCTTGCAGATATACACAGTCCAAGGTGATAAGGTTAGAAACCACTAGGACTGTTAATCTGTGCACGGGGACTGTCCATGAAAGGTGCTCCAATTTGCAGTACAGACAAGGACACAAGAAGAAGGTTCGTTAAGGATAAGCCAAAGTCAGAGGATGACAGAGGTCCGGATAAACAAGGAGGAATGCCAAGGTCAGGAGCCGGGGTCAATCTGGAGAACAAGTACCAGGAGACAAAACAGGAACCATACACGATCATCAGAATTAAAGAACTGACAAAGTTCCCAGGGCAAGGCAGTGCTTAAATACCCAAATTATTAGTGATCTGCCTCAGGGCAAACACAGGTATCAGCCAGAGATGAAGTCCAGGCCCCTAGTGTTGCAGACAAAGCCAGGAATAGCAAGGATATAACTTATCCAAAAGAACAGAATCTGCTGTGGCTTACAGGCACTTCTGGCGTGACCACGTCTGGCCATGTGGACAAACTAAGACACATGGCAGAACAGGCAGGTTAATAGATTTCAGATTGAGATTTGTAATTCGGTTTTTTTATACGAAAGTTGTTATTATTTAAAAGAGAAATTTTCCTTTATAAATTTCACTTCCACCAAAGATTCGAAAATAAAGTAGAAAAACAAGTAAAAAAAAAAGAAGTAGAACTCAGTTGCCCCACACATCATCATTTCTCCTAAAATTTCAAATGGACAAATGGGATCCTTCAGTTTTAGGAGTGTGTGAGTGGGGGTGTAGCCAGGGCCAGGACTGTTCTCAGAAATGTTAGGTGATTTACTAACAATTTATTAAAAGGTAATTTTGAACAAGAACAATCTATCTAATTTACAGAGACTTATTTCTGAACACATTTATTTTCATTTAAAGACACATTATTGCTGTGGAGCTCTGTTACACACTCAGACACACCAACAAGGGAAGACTCCCTTATTATTTGAACCTTCTCTGACATGTCTGGTAAGTTTAGAAAACAAATAGTAATGGTGAGAGGGGGCGTCTCTCTTACACCCTATTATAAATGGGAAGGAAATGGAAACTAAGCTACAAATATGCCTGAAGGACACATTTAAGAGTTATTATAAATCAGAGGACTACCTCACTGACACCAGATTTGGATAACATTATTGCATATTGTTTTTTTTTAAATTTTGAATACCTCCCTGTTGTCAATTCTAATTACCCACAATCATCTGTATAAAGTTATTGAAAGGATAAAATAAAACACTTTTGTTTTTTAAGTTCACATGTTTTAAAACTAAATTATACAGGTGCAGACCACAGGTTATTAGCAAATATTATAGTTTGTATAGATATGTTTGTGTTTTTGTTACCGTTACAGATAATACACTGACAGCTTTATGAATTGTTTTTAAAGGTTCTTTATCTCCCTGACTTGTCATTGTCCTAGTTGGCAATGTGCTCCTGCGACAAGATAATCCAATAATCTTTTTCATCTCAAACGCAAGACTGGATTAATGAATGGTCCAATAATGGCTCAGCATCATCCTTAAATGTTAGACCCTTTGAAAGATGCATTTAACTTAGTACATATTGGTGCAACATCCCGCTGTTTGTGTGTTACTCTCAGTTTTGTGACTCGGAAATACCTGGAACCTCAAATGGACTCTCCTCGTACAGTACTTATAACTGGATGTTCGTCCGGGATTGGGCTGGCATTGGCTGCAAAACTTGCCACTGATGGACAGCAACGCTTTAAAGGTGAGAGCTGTAGCTATAACATTATGGCCATTGGCCAATAGACCCAAACTATTATATGAAGCAGTTAAAAATGAATTAGTTCATCTAAGTCAGGGATGCCCAAAAAGTTAATCCTCAGGTGTATTAAGACTACAGCTTCCATGAGTCTTTGTCATTCTAGAGCATTCTAAAGACGTGCAAAGCATTGTGGTAGTTGTAGTTCTACAATATCTGGGGATCTAACTATTTGGCACCCCTGATCTTAGCTGTAAATCAACCCTGCAATAGAATTTTCTGCTGATGAGAATCTTATGGGGTGTATTTTCTAAACTCTGAATTGTATCAAATTGAAATTCAAATGGCAAAATGCAGCAAAAATTATTTCAACTTGGCTATCGTCACAAATTGACTATTTTAGCAAGGATTTCTGCCATTTAGATTTCCATACTTCAAAGTTCAGGGATTTTTGAATAAACTCCTTACCCCTTGTTAAACCCCCCTGTTATGTCTACCACCTCCATTTATTGGGCTATCCTTTTATTTAAAGACACATTGCCGCTTTAAGTCCTTTGGTTTTAACTTTGCCGTAAGTTGATATTATGTCATTGTAATGAACTACTTTTAACAAGAAGGTAAAAAAAAAAGCAAAAGCATAGTGTTAACAAGATAATCTTCCGTGGTCGTGTTTAGGCATGCAAAACGTCTGTAAATATTTCTACCTCCACAGATATTTGTTCTAAGAGCCTTTCCAAACATACATTTGCAGCTCCGTTTACTCTTAGAATACAATAGGATTTAGACAGATATCGTGAATCACTGTAAAAATCCCAAGTTTGAGTCAAGTTTAAAAGTTGCCCTTAAATTGGGTGATGTTACTACATCGCTGTGTTTTACTGCAACGTCATTATACCGGTGCATAAAAGAGGCACAGCTAGGGGTGTCAAATTCACATTACTTACATACATGATGAATAGCGCTTCCCTTCAGTGTGTACAAATAAAATCTGGCAGCAAATTAATTGGACTTACTGCATCTCTTTCTTCTAAAGCCCATGATAGATTGTACATATAGCATTGTACCCAGGGCCAGCCCAAGACATTGTGCTGCCTTGGTCCAAGGATGAAATGCTGCCCCACCCCCCAAAAAAAACATATGCTTCTGCAATGTGGGTCTCTATGTGGGTGTGCTGGGGAAGAAGTGTGTGTCTGTGTGTACTTGGGATGTAGTGTGTGTCTGTGTGTGTGCTTGGGATGTATTATATGTCTGTGTGTGCTGGAGATGTAGCGTGTGTCTGTGTGTATGCTGGGGATGTAGCTTGTGTCTTTGTGTGCACTGCAGCCAATACACTTACCTATACATTGTGTCTGTGTATATGCATGTGTGTCAGAGTTTATATGTGTGTGTCTGTTTCTGTATTTGTGTCAGTGATTGTATCCGTTTGTTTATGTATCTGCATGTGTGGCAGTGTTTGTGTCTGTATGTCTGAATATCTGCATGTGTATCAGTATGTCTGTGCAACTGTATGTGTGTCTGTGCATCTGCATGCGTGTCAGTATATGTATCAAAAACTGACACACATGCAGATACTGACACACATACAGATGTACATACACACTGATATGCCTGCAGATACACAGACATACACACAGACACATACAGACACTGACACATACAGATGCACACACTGACACATAGAGATGCACACACTGCCACACATGCAGATACACAGACATACAGATACACACACATACGGAATCTGTTGGCGCTATATAAATGGCAATAATAATAATAATAATAACATACAAACAGATACACACACTACACATACACAGATACACACACACAAACACACACTACACACATAGAAACAGATACACACACACACACACAAACACACAGCTACACACACATTAAAAAAATTAAGCCACCCAGCAGGTTCTTACCTTCTGCTGGATGTGGCTGGTGGGAGTTAGGGGCCTGCTCTCCCGATCCGGCCTGCAGCTCCCTCCTCCTCCTCCTTCTTCTGTGCGGCAGTGTGAGTGAGCTGGGACGAAGTGATACCCTGCCACTTCCTCCCAGCTCTCTGTGTAGGATAGAAGGGACCCAGTTGCGCACAACCGGGCCCCTCATTGCATATGTACATCGGGTGGCCGATGCTGCACCGCCGCCATGGGTTGAGAACTCCTGTTTTAGATTATGTCAGAGTACAGCCTATAGCCGTGGCTCCACTGCGGTTTATGGACGGACCGGCCGGCCCTGATTGTACCCTACCATGTACCCTACCCCTTAACCCTGCTATGCACCGTTCATAGAAACTGCAATGTTTAAATTACAGGGTTAAGACTGTACCTATAGTGGCTGTCTACTAGAGGTGCTTCATGCGGTTTCACGGAATTTAACTATGCTGTACGTGAAAACCTTCAAATCGCCCACAGCAAAGTATCAATTCATTAGGTTCCACTCTCGGCGCTGATGTGGCCGAAAAGGTGCCAGCACTGAGAAACCTTGGCTCTGGAATTAGGCGAGTGTTTATACGTTTTTTTTAATGCTTAAATTGCCATGGGGCGCATAGGAACACTATACTGTTAGGCATACAGCTTTGCATTCCTAACACTATAGTGTTCCTTTAAATTCAAAATTCATTTTCAATTCCCATTTTAGTAAATAACCCAGTTCATGTTTGGGTTAGAGGGGTCTTATGTTTACGGTTCGGCTTAGTGCTAAGCATATCTGCCTTCAAGGTGCTGTGGACTGCAACTACTAGCACTCTCTGCCAGGCTTCACTTTTTGTACTTATAATACGCATGGATGGCACAAAAGAGGCAGCTAAGTAGACCTCAGGCTAGTTTGTCCTTATGGCTCAGACATTTCTATAATTAGCACTGGGTTACAAAGCACATCACCCTTCCTGTTACTTCTACTGCAGTCTACAAGATCAGCTGAAACTGATCTCATTAAGGGGATTGCATTATCAGTCCGACACTTATCAGCAAGTTGAGCATGCAAGAATTCTGTTATCTCAGTGTGAAACACCTGGTTCATTCACATCAAAGACCGAAATATTAACCTTTATAACATCAAGTTCACTGATAATGAGGTTAACACAAATCTCAGCAAATGCAAGTGCTAAACATCAAGTGGAACAGTTACATTTGACATTTGATCTTGAAAAAAGCATTGAAAGTCATGTTTCAGTGTTTGCAGATGCCACAAAACTCTGTAAAATAATACAATGTGAGCAAGATATTACTTTGCTGCAGAGGGATTTAGATAGACTGGGGGACTGGGCACTCAAATGGAAAATTCAATTTAATGTAGAAAATTGCAAAGTTTTGCACTTCGGCGTCAAGAATGCACAAGCAACTTATACCCTTAATGGAAGCGAATTAGAGATAACCACACACGAGAAGGACTTGTGAATTGTTATAGACAACAAACTATGCAACAATGTGCAATGTCAATCAGCAGTGGCCAAGGCCAGTAAGGTATTGTCATGCATGAAAAAGGGCATTCATTCTCAGGAAGAGAATATCATTTTGCCTCTTTATAAATCACCGGTAAGACCACATCTTGAATATGCTGTGCAATTTTGGGCACCTGTTCTAAAGAAGGATATTATGGCACTAGAAAGAGTGCAGAGACGGGCTACAAAATTAATAAAAGGAATGGAACATATCAGCTATGAAGAAAGGTTAACAAATTTAAACCTCTTTAGTTTAGAAAAACATTGCTTGAGAGGGAATATGATAACATTATACAAATATATCCAGGGCCAATACAAACCATTGTGTGGAAATCTATTCACAAACCGGTCTTAACATAGGACACGAGGCCATGCGTTTAGACTGGAAGAAAGAAGATTTAGTCTAAGGCAAAGGAAAGGTTTTTTTACTGTAAGAACAATCAGGATGTGGAATTCTCTGCCTGAAGAAGTGGTTTTATCAGAGTCCATACAGATGTTCAAACAGCTACTAGATGCATACTTGCAAAACCAGAATATTCAAGGATATAATCTTTCAATGTAGGGTAATAACTGCTTGATCCAAGGATAAATTTGATGCCATTCTGGGGTCAAGATGGGATTTTTTTTTCCTAGTTTGTTGCAAAATTAGAAGTGCTTCAAACAGTTTGGTTTTTTTTTTGCCTTCTTTTGGATCAACAGCAAAAAAACTAATGTGAGGAATGCTGAACTTGATGGACGCCTCTCTTTTCAGCCTATGTAACTATGTTACATTTTACACAAAGCAGCATTTAACATGATACTGATCAAAATCTAGTATTAGTATTCAATCAATAGCAATTAATAACATTGTCACAATTTTATTCTGACACCACCAAAGTTATAACAATGCTATCCACACAAAGCCAGGATAACAACAATTATATCGGATATAATGCAGTGATGTCGTTAACAAGTTACATATCTCTATTCCTAACACTAGAGTACTTATGTGGACCCCCTAAATATTAGAATAAAAAAACTAAATAAATAAAAATAAAACTTTATCTCCAGCAATGAATCTCCCTCCTCCTTGAGTTATGTCATCCTGGAGGCTCACGGTCCAATCCAATGGTTTTGGTTGCTCCCGTTGGGCCATGGTGGTGGGGGCTGGAGAAGATATTGGAGGCTAGGCAGTTTTGCTAGCTGGATGTTTGGTTTGTTAATCATGTTTACATGGTTGAATTTGGTATTTGGTAGGTTGGAGCCTGTAGGTGGTTCTCAACCTGGTGGTGTAGGGGTGTCTCGGTATGCCCCTGCAATCTAAATTGGTAGGTTGGAACCCATAGGTGGTTCTCAGCCTGGTGGGTTAGGGGTGTCGGCGGTATGCCCCTACTATCTAAATTGGTAGGTTGGAACCCGGAGGTGGTTCTCAACCTGGTGGGGTAGGGGTGTCTCGGTATGCCCCTACTACGAAAATCAATTGGTATGAGGCCTGTTGTGGCCATGTTGCTTATGTTAATTATGTATGGTTATATGTTACTGTTGATATGTTACGGGTCATTGCCGGTGGGTGTAGTACTGTTAAAATTGGGTTGAAGTACGTATTATGTGAACTTGGGAATGTTTGGCAATGACCCAAATTACTATTTAGATATTTATCATATTTATAATTTATTAAAGCCATGGCAAAGTTTTATCCACTTTAAATTTGTGTCCGTGTCTTATTGGGGGGTCCAAGGTAAGGTTTGGAACATATGCACAAAAGCTTGACTATGCGCATGTCATGATTTTGCAATGTTACATTACTGTATTTGTACTTTATTTACTTTAGGTGATGCCATAAACTCAAGGGAGGTGTTCTGCTCCTGAATACATTTTGAGGGTACTGTCTATTTCTTCAAATATATTTTCGCTTGAATACTAAATTCAGATATTTTTCATGTCTCACTCATAACTGGCAAGTAAGGGGTTGAAACAGAAGCAACAAAGAGCAACGTATTAGCTTCTTGGATTAAGAAATAGTTTAACATGGGGGGACCTGGTGCTGGGCAAGGACAATAAGGTAAAAAAATTGGTGGGCTGTGAAATGGGGCAACATTTTTAATATTGGGGAAACTGATGCAGGCTTTCCCCCCCACTCCTTCACCCTATGCCAGCGGGTCAAAGGATGCGAGATTGAGGCATGACATAACTTTCCCCTTCACCCACCGAAATGAATGTGGGGCATGGGGGGAAGCCCATTAAGTTGAGTATTCCTAATCACACAGGCTAGGTCGGAGTTTGGGGAAAGGAAATGGCAGGGTGCCAGTAACTCCCTCCTTGTAATACGACAAAGGAAAAGCAAAGAACTAATTAAATGGTCTACTCTTATCCAACAAGGAACTCATTTTCATTTAGTTCTTTCATAATTCAATTTGTTAATTTGTGATTTTGACGATGAAACACATTGGCCTAAATTAGTTGAAACTTTTTGGTGTTGAAATTGGTGTTGATTGGTGTTCTTTTACGGCAAAAAGAAAACTTTAGTGTTCATGTGTGCCGTATTGCTGACATCTAGTGGTGATATTTTGCAGCTCACACAAATACCAGTTAAATAGGGACAATTAAAGGTATACAGCAACCCCAAATGGTTATTGGTCTTGGTGGACTCTGTCGTTGAGATATGAGTGATACACCTCTAGGCACATTGAACATGGGGTCCACATATGCAAACAAACCAAAACAGATCCCAATTTATCACATAGCTGAGAAATGGAAGAACAGAAAAATGTTTAACAAAGGCCAGTTGGAGTAAACTACAAAGTTCCACTTCCACTACTCTACACATGCAGACACAATTTAATTTATTGGTAAAGGATAACTCTAGTCTTCTTTCTTAAACTAGTGACAGCACAAGTTAAGGAGTCCTACGGGAACCAAAACCCAAGGACACGCGAGGCTACGATGGGTGAGCAGATTGCAGGTGCCTAAACAGGAACAAATGCCTAAAGAACTTTCCTACTGAAAGAATCACAAGCGTAACCATTAAAACCGTAAAGTCTAGCAAGCGTGCAGTGAGAATCAGGTGGCAGCAATGTAGTCCTCAAATAACACTTCATGTTGCAGCTTGGGCAAGGTAGCCATCTCTATGGTAGAATTGGTCATCACTTAAAGAGTAAAGGAGTAAAACAAGTTAGGCTTAAACAAAAATTAAATTATGCAACTTCATACAGCTTGAGCCAATATAGCCGGTCCTTTATGTGCTATATATACACAGACATATACTCTCCGTGGTTATGTGTTCTCCAGTGGAGAATGGAGATGTTAGTATTCTCTGCTTATGACCTTTTGACGTTTTAAAGAAATACAGCTTTTAATCAAAGTCAATGTTTTTTAAATACAGGCTACAGGGTGCAATTTTATCATTTTTATATCAATGTTTCTCTCTGTAGTCTTCGCCACAATGCGTAACCTGGCAAAACGCTCTGCACTGGAGGAAGCAGCTGGTGATGCCCTCAATAGAACCCTGGAGATCAAAGAACTAGATGTCTGTAGTGAACATTCCATTCGCAAATGCGTGGACACCATCCCCGACAGACGTGTAGACATTCTCAGTGAGTGGTGCATGGTAGGCATGTCTCGTCGTAAAAAAAAACCCCAAAACAAAATCATAAACATTTTGATATTACGTGAAATCAGAATAAAATGGAATTCCATAAGACTTTTAAAAAATGGTTAAAATTTGTATTCATGGGCTTAAAGTCATCATAGTTCATTATCATTGAAAATAAAAGATCACATGTACATAATAAGTAAATACCCCATATCTGTGCATCTCCTACTTACCTTTGCTCTACGATCAGAAGCACCTTTTTTATTTGCCAAGAACATTCGAACCCAATTCACAGCACATTTTTGAGATGTCTGGCACTTGCTCATGGCATCATAAATTGCGAACTCGCAGTAACCTTTGATCTGCTGTTGGTTAAGTGGTGCTTCTGAACAAAGTGGATTTAAAGACGTCTGGCCCAAGGATCAAGGGTAAGTCAGGAGAGACAACACTGAAACACGGTGTTAACTTATATGCATGCATTGAAATAATATGAATATAGGCAAAGGGTAGGCAACATTTGGCACTCCACATGTTGTAGACTACATCTTCCCTAATGCTTTGCTAGCATTATGACCAGAAGAGCATTATGGGTGATGTAGTCTGTAACATCTAGGGTTCCAAAGGTTGCCTACTGCTGATATAGGCTATAATATATGGAAGCTTTTATTTAAAATTATAAAAACAAATGACATTTTCCTATCAGTGAAGGTGTTCTAGTTAACTATTAAAGAAATAAAGTTTCATTGCTTTCAACCTTTTTTTATTTACCCATCTTTTTATCAGTTAATAACGCAGGGGTCGGTCTTATTGGACCTATAGAATGCCAGTCCATACAGGATATGCAAGCGGTTTTCGAAACCAATTTCTTTGGGGTTGTAAGAATGATTAAAGAGGTCCTGCCGGATATGAAGAAACGGAAAAGCGGCCACATTGTGGTCATTAGCAGCGTAATGGGACTTCAAGGTGAGAAGCCAAGAATGTTACCTGGGAATCTTAAGAACTTAACTGTATATTTGAAAACAGACTGCAACTGTTTGATAGTCTGTCAGAATGTAGTGGGAGTCGAAATCAAAATGCTTGGACTGTATAAAGAGATTGGAATCATACTAATAGTTTTTGTTGACAGCCATATAGATCAAAGGATGACCAAACAACGGTCTCAATAGAAGGCTTTGTAGATACATTTAGCATATGTAGGAGAGTCAAAAAATATTAGACTACAAAAAAAACAAAGAGTGAAGCCAAGACCGCATGACTGCAGTCTCAAGGCTAACAGTAAACATTAACCAAAAGGGCTAAGCAGCCAAGAAAAAACGAGAAAGATGCTGGCTTATGGGATGGTAGAGAGGTCTACATCTTAATTGTTGGGATCCATATGGAGGCGTGAAAGAGGGTTCAACAGCTGAACTTAATTTTGTATATCACAGAGAAGATAGATACATTTCTCCAAGCACAAACAATGCAAAACACAGCAAATATAATGAGGCGTAGAGTTAAAACAAAGTTAATTGCCGTCAATGGTGCTTAATAAGTTGCGGTATTATAAGTAAATTAATAAGAATAACCTTAAAATCGCATTAGCTGTCAACATAATAGCCTCTTTGACCTCCTGTTTTTGAATATTCCTGGATAACTTTATTCTCTTTTTTTTTCTCACCAGGCATCATGTTCAATGATGTATATGCTGCGTCAAAGTTTGCCATTGAAGGATTTTGTGAAAGCTTGGTCTTCCAGACTATGAAATTCAACATTTTGTAAGTGATTAATTTGTCAGTAAATTAAAAAAATAAAAATAAAAAATTTAGTAGTTGCATATTTTAAAGTTCTATTTAAACCAATCTCTTTTTTATATTCTGATGATGTGTTTGGAAGTCTGCATTCCCTTAAGCACCAGTAGCTTTATATAGGTAATTCCTATGTTTATTCTAATTTTGTTCCTTCTGTGTATATTTAAATTCTTATTTGTATCTTTAGATCTTGCACAAGTTTAAACCATCAGTGCACAACTGAAATTATAAGAGGGGTGAATTAACAGATTTGAAAGTTCTCTGGGGGATGCAAAGACTCTTTGCACCATAACCACTACAATAAGTTGAATTGGTTACAGTGCTTAAAAGTATTCCTTTAACATCAAAGTGCACCATAGAAAAATTTATTGTTAGTTTAATAAAGGACACACTATCCATAGCCTCAAATTTTCACTGACACATATCACCCATTTTAAGGATTACATGAAAGAATTGCATTGTACTAAATATCAACCATGTATTTGGTACCCTATGGATTGCGTGCAAATATTGGAAATCTATTCACAACAGGACTATATATAGGACATGAGGTCACATGTTTAGACTGGAAGAAAGGAGATTTAGTCTAAGTCAAAGGAAAGGTTTTGGTATAGTAAGAACAATAAGGATGTGGAATTCTCTGCCTAAAGAAGTGGTTTTATCAGAGTTTGTACAGATTGTTCAACATCAACTGTATGCACACTTGCAAAAACATAATATTCAATGATATAATTTTTAAATTGTGGGGTAATAGCTTCTTGATCCAAAGAGAAATCTGACTGCCATTCTGACAGTTTGCAAAATTGGAGGTGCTTTTTTGCCTTGTTTTGGATCAACAGCAAAAACATATTTAAGAAAGGCTGAACTGGACACATAGAAACATAGAATGTGACGGCAGGTAAGAACCATTCGGCCCATCTAGTCTGCCCAATTTTCTAAATACTTTCATTAGTCTCTAGTCTTATCTTATAGTTAGGATAGCCTTATGCCTATCCCACGCATGCTTAAACTCCTTTACTGTGTTAACCTCTACCACTTCAGCTGGAAGGCTATTCCATGCATCCACTACCCTCTCAGTAAAGTAATACTTCCTGATATTATTTTTAAACCTTTGTCCCTCTAATTTAAGACTATGTCCTCTTGTTGTGGTAGTTTTTCTTCTTTTAAATATAGTCTCCTCCTTTACTGTGTTGATTCCCTTTATATATTTAAATGTTTCTATCATATCCCCCCTGTCTCGTCTTTCCTCCAAGCTATACATGTTAAGATCCTTTAACCTTTCCTGGTAAGTTTTATCCCGCAATCCATGAACCAGTTTAGTAGCCCTTCTCTGAACCCTCTCTAAGGTATCAATATCCTTCTGAAGATACGGTCTCCAGTACTGTGTACAATACTCCAAGTGAGGTCTCACCAGTGTTCTGTACAATGGCATGAGCACTTCCCTCTTTCTACTGCTAATACCTCTCCCTATACAACCAAGCATTCTGCTAGCATTTCCTGCTGCTCTATTACATTGTCTGCCTACCTTTAAGTCATCAGAAATAATCACCCCTAAATCCCTTTCCTCAGATGTTGAGGTTAGGACTCTATCAAATATTCTGTACTCTGCCCTTGGGTTTTTACATCCAAGATGCATTATCTTGCACTTATCCACATTAAATGTCAGTTGCCACAATTCTGACCATTTTTCTAGTTTACCTAAATCATTTGCCATTTGGCTTATCCCTCCTGGAACATCAACCCTGTTACATATCTTAGTATCATCAGCAAAAAGACATACCTTACCATCAAGACCTTCTGCAATATCACTAATAAAAATATTAAAGAGAATGGGTCCAAGTACAGATCCCTGAGGTACCCCACTGGTGACAAGTCCAAGCTTCGAATATATTCCATTAACTACAACCCTCTGTTGCCTGTCACTCAGCCACTGCCTTATCCATTCAACAATATTTGAATCCAAACTTAAAGATTGCAGTTTATTGATAAGCCTTTTATGTGCAACAGTGTCAAAAGCCTTACTGAAATCTAGGTAAGCAATGTCTACTGCACCACCCTGATCTATAATTTTAGTTACCCAATCAAAAAAATCAATAAGATTAGTTTGGCATGATCTCCCTGAAGTAAACCCATGTTGTCTCTGATCTTGAAATCCATGTATTTTTAGATGTTCATCAATCCTATCCTTTAACATGGTTTCCATCACTTTCCCCACTACTGAAGTAAGGCTTACTGGCCTATAGTTGCCCGACTCCTCCCTATTACCTTTCTTGTAAATGGGCACAACATTCGCTAACTTCCAATCTTCTGGGACTACTCCTGTTAACAATGATTGGTTAAATAAATCTGTTAATGGTTTTGCTAGTACACCACTAAGCTCTTTTAATAGCTTTGGGTGTATTCCATCAGGTCCCATTGACTTATTTGTCTTTACTTTTCCGCCTATGTAACGGTGTAAAATATTATACTTATATTTTTTTCTGAAACACGTCCCTGTGTTAATTTTCCAGTATTACACTGATAGAACCAGGTCCCGTTAAGACAGAGTTTGAATTAAAAACCTATGAAGAAGCAGAACGGGGCGATTATTCCAAGACAGATCCAGAGACAGCAGATATCTTCATCAACTACTATTTGAAGAATTGTAAAGAAATATTTTCCAGTTTGGGGCAGACTCCAGAAGATATCGCAGAGGTAAGACTATTGTCAAAGGCTACAGTGCATGAATTGCTGCAGTGTGAGGGAATGGAGTCTATGACAGATTTTACAAAACAGTGGAATGAGTATGCTTGGAGTATCTTAACAACATTGATTGCATAAAAGTTTGAGTTTTCTTGGAGCAAAAGCAGAATGGAACTATTTTTATATATAATGTGTGTCAGAGATGCAAATTTGAAAGTTAACATATCATTTTTATAGCATACTCTACGTATTGTTACTATGGAGACAGCACCATTCCGTCACCAGACTAACCAAGTCTACACTCCTGTGACTGCACTAAAGTATGCAGACCCAAGTGGGGAACTGGTGACCAATGTATTCTACAAGATGGTCTTCCAACACGACACTTTGATGCATGCCAGCCTCCGAGCGATTAAACTACTTCGTTGGAAAGCAAACAAAGTTCAACAGGGAGCAAGAATTTTAGGATTCATGTAATCTTCTAATGTCTAATTTTGCTTTGTGGGTGATCTGAGGTGTCATCTGAATTGGGGATGTTAGAACTCATCGACACGGATCTAGCACATGATGGAAAAGTATTGTATCAAATGATTTCTAGAGGCTTACATTTTATTACATATATATGTCACTTATGGGACATGTGCGGTGTCAAAACTATTACAAGTGCCTTCTAGAAGCTATATTTGACCATTTATGTTGAATCTTGATAAAGAAATGAAAAAAATATCCTGAAAATATAAAGTGGGATTATGCTGAGGTTCAACCTGTGTAACAGGAGTTTTTAAGATATGGGCATGTGGCTCTTCAGACTGTGACATGATCTTTGTCCCTTGGAGAATGGGGAGGGTAAGTTACTGGTATACAGCCTGTGACAATCATTGAGCTGTGAGTTTCACTTCCCAATTCCAAACCCTAAAATATCTCCCCAGCTGTCCCAAGGGAGTGAAAGATCAGTACACATCACACTCTACTGCTGGAGAAAATACAAAGCCGTAAAAATAATGAACATATTTCTTTTTAAAATGAAACTCAGTCACTCACCAGAAAAGTTTTCCCCCCAACCCTCCCCCCCCCCACACACACATGCATAGGATTCTTCTTTAAAGAAATGGCTGATTCATTCTCATTGGTAGGTATACATAGATTTTGCAAGGTATAACATATCATTCAAGCTAAATAATAGAATAGCTAATTTGCTTTCTCAAAATATGTAACTTTGAAATATTATTTTGTATGCGTATACAATTACACGTGTACTGCAATTAAACAGATATGACCTGAGGCATTCAAACTCATTAGCTTTATTAGATTTTATATATATATAATCTATGAGAAGTCACTCTGACTACAAAGAGCTCTAGAGATTGTAACTGCATGACCACCAATGGCTATAAGGGTCATAACAAAGGCATAGCAATACTAGCATAGAGAGCATCGGGACAATCAGCACAATATTGGCAGTATTAGGATAGAGAGCATCGGGACAATCAGCACAATATTGGCAGTATTAGGATAGAGAGTATCAGGACAATCGGCTATGATATTGGCAGTATTAGGATAAAGAGTGAAAAGACAATCAGCTATAATATTAGCAGTGTTAGGATACAGAGTAACAGAACAATCGGCTATGATATTGGCAGTGTTAGGATAGAGAGTATCAGAACAATCGGCTATGATATTGGCAGTGTTAGGATAGAGAGTATCAGAACAATCGGCTATGATATTGGCAGTGTTAGGATAGAGAGTATCAGAACAATCGGCTATGATATTGGCAGTGTTAGGATAGAGAGTATCAGAACAATTGGCTATGATATTGGCAGTGTTAGGATAGAGAGTATCAGAACAATCGGCTATGATATTGGCAGTATTAGGATAGAGCGTATCAGAACATTCAACTATAGTATTGGCAGTGTTAGTATACAGACTATCAGAACAATCGGCTATAATATTGGCAGTATTTGGATAGAGCGTATCAGAACAATCAGCTATGATATTGGCAGTGTTAGGATAGAGAGTATCAGAACAATCGACTATAATGTTAGCAGTGTTAGGATAGAGAGTATCAGAACAATCGGCTATGATATTGGCAGTGTTAGGATAGAGAGTATCAGAACAATCAGCTATGATATTGGCAGTGTTATGTTAGTGAGTAGCAGTACAATCGGCTATGATATTGGCAGTGTAAGGATAGAGAGTATCAGAACAATCAGCTATGATATTGGCAGTGTTAGGATAGAGAGTATCAGAACAATCGGCTATGATATTGGCAGTGTTAGGATAGAGAGTATCAGAACAATCGGCTATAAGATTGGCAGTATTAGGATAGAGCGTATCAGAACATTCAGCTATAGTATTGGCAGTGTTAGTATACAGACTATCAGAACAATCGGCTATAATATTGGCAGTATTTAGATAGAGCGTATCAGAACAATCGGCTATGATATTGGCAGTGTTAGGATACAGAGTATCAGAACAATCAGCTATGATATTGGCAGTGTTATGTTAGTGAGTAGCAGTACAATCGGCTACGAATGTTCACAGTATTACATTAGAGCAGTGGTGCTCAACCATTTTTAGGCCAAAACACACTTCTGCAAAAGAAACATTTCCAAGGCACACTTGATTTTTTTTTTATTTTAAAATTATTTTACCTTCATCTGAAGCCTTACCTGAGAGATTTGCACAATTCTTGTCAAATCATCCTATTAGCTTTAAGTAATTGCCAGATAAAAACCTATATAAACTATGGCATTTAGTTAAAAAAATGCATTTAAGACTTGCATTCAGTCTATCAGAAGTCAATGTATTCGTGGTACACTTTGAGGCAGCTTGAGACACACCAAGGTCCACCTGAAACCTAGTTGAATGCCTCTAGAGAGTAGCAGGACAAGTAGCTAATATTGACAGTCTTAGGCTAGAATCAGGGGTAGGCAACCTTCGGCACTCCAGATCTTGTGGACTACATTACCCATAATGCTCTTACAGTTATCATGCTGGTAAAGCATCAAGGGAGATGTAGTCCAAAACATCTGGATTGCCGAAGGATGCCTACCCCTAGGCTCGATAGTTATTATTACTCCTGGATAAATTAGGAGAAGATGGGGGATTTCTACAGCCATAAAATGTGCAGCTGTTTGTACCACACTTGAAAACACTCAGCTTTCAAAAGGTGTCACCCACCAAGCAACAGTTACATCACTGGAAAATGGAGGAAGTAGCACATCAGAAAGCATTTTGGGTCACCACATTAACAGACATTGCACCTGTATCGAGGAAGGAGTCAATCTAAATAACACACGCTACTGTTGGTGAATTAGTCTGGGCTCTTTTTTTTAGGTGATGAGAGTACAGGGGCAATTTAATTGTTCGGTCATACATATTGAATCTGTATCTTCTGCTTGTTTCGCGTTCCTTCCACTGTAAGTATAGTTAGTAATAGGGCATATAGTATGAAAAGACTGGAGTGATAAATATCATATGTTTCATATTCTTTTTATTGTATATATGTTTCATTCCACAAAACCCCTTTAGTCGTGGAGGTAACTTTTTGTTTTTCATTTTTAAACAAGGAACAACTGCTCCCTATAATTTTACATTTTATGTTTACTTACCCACTATATATAAAAGATTACAGTGTTTGTGAATTCTGAAAAATTAAATTAAAAGTAGAACTTTACATCACTGTTTTTACCTTCATCCTGGAACAGAGTAGGTCCTTCTTGGCTCCCTGTCGATCCCGGTTATAAGTTCTGCCCTTTGCCCCCAACAGTCAGCAAAAAGGAAGGACGATAATAAGAAACAATATTTCTGTTTTAACTCCTCTGATGAACTGTGTGCCCTGGCTGTGCCAGGACTAAACTAGATTGTGATGTCAATTGTTCAATCCTTAATAAACAATCAAAAGAAAAACAAAAAAGAGACTCACAATCTTTCATACTCTCACCCTTCCACTGTCCTATTTTCCATCCTAACAGATTTGTATTTAGTTCTCTATAATGTCCTCCCCTGTACCTTCATGACCTATTGCACACCCTTCCCAACCTCACTTCCCTCCAACTCCGCCAAGTGAGCTTAGAGAAGGTTTGTAATGATGATAATCCTCTCCCTTTGAGGTCTAAGCCCTATTTTCAGATCGGCTCTCTTTCTACAATTACTTCTATAGATTAGGTTATTGTACCTTTCGAGTCTCCCACTCCCGGTCCATATTCCGGTCATCATACATTGTCTCTAGCGAATCACACTTATATATCTTACACTGTACTAAACTGTTACTTTTTTGCAAGCTTATGCAATGATTGTTCATAGAATTACAAATGGCCTAAAGGAACAATAAAGGGTCAGGAACACAAACCTGTATTGCTGACCATATAGTGTTAAAACCACCATTTAGGTGGCTTGCCCCCTCATAGCCCCCTTAGAAGGGGTTAAAACTCACCTTATTCCCTGCCCCTGATCTGCCTCCTTGGTGACATCATGAGAATTTACAGAAAGGAAAGGAAAAGCATTGGATTGACTGAAATTGGCAAGGAGGCAGGGCCAAAACGCAATTTTGCCCAATCATCACCTCCTCATAGAGATGCATGGAATCTATGCAACTCTATGAGGAAAATTCAGCGTCTCCATGCAAAGTGTGGAGACACTGAATGTCAGTGCTGCCTACTATGCAGCACTGCCACAGGAAGCACCTCTAGTGGCCACCTGAAGAGTGGCCACTGGAGGTGTCCCTATGGGGCAATGTAAACACTGCCTTTTCTCTGAAAAGTCAGTGTTTGCATGAAAATGCCTGCAGGGAATGGTTATACTAACCAGAAAAACTATATTAAGCTGTAGTTGTTCTGGTGACTATAGTGTTCCTTTAACTTCTCTCTGTTGGCCAAGCGTTGGTGAACCAACCCCTTAGATCGGTATCCTTTATGTTTCCCGATTTTCTGGTTTATAAGCATTTTATTTTCAATGTATGAAATAAAAATAAAGAATTATAAAAATAAATAAATAAAAAAAGAAGAGTAGCAACACAGGGGATGGAAAGAAAATATAAATCATTTATTGATCTTAACCAAAAATGTTGGGGATGGAGGGGGAGTATGAAACAAAAAAGTACTGCGTGGGTTTTATAAAATATGTTCTATCTACCTCAATAGATACAAAATAAGTAACGTTTTATAAAGAGATTTTTCAGTCTGTGCATTATACAGGAAAACGTCTGTTCCAAGTAAGTCAACACACTGCTCGTCTGCCCTTTTTAAATATCATAATTTCACAGTTCAAGAAAAGTTTGCTTTCTAAGGCAGACAGAAGTTAAGCTTAACTGCAACAATACAGTACATTAAAAAACTCCCAGCACGGCAGGGTTTGTGATTAGATTGTCAAGGTAGATGTGCATTTTCACACAGCTTGGAAATACAGATAAACATGGAGCTTCTTTAACAGCAAAATCCTTCAACTCGTAGGTTTTTTTAGTTTTGTCTTTTTTGTAGTTTTTTTTTTTTTTTAAGGCATAAGTCAAAAGTATTTTAACAAAAAGGAGCTTGTCTCAAATGGCTATCCACAAGAAAAAGTTATAAGTTAAACTAATGATATCTGATATAAAATGAGCATAACTCTGGCATCAGGCATGACTATTTCACATGGTGTTCTCCTCGTGCAATGTGAGATGAGAACTCGTAGCGGTCCTGGCTGCGGTGGCCACACATGTTACATTCGAATGGGTCCCGGAATCCATGGCACCCCATATGAATAGTAAACATGACATAATCCAGGAAGAGAACACAGCAGTGGTCACAGCGATACACACCTAACGGACAGCCTTCCTTGCTCAATACCTGAAGGAGGTCACGCTGAGACAGGCCAGGGTGTTTCATCACATCGAAAACTCTTGGAGGCTCCTTTGGGAGTTGCTGTACATTACTGGCTCTCCCTGAGGCCATGCTTAAACCAGGTGCGAAATTGCCCCTTTCCTCATGACTGCTGTCTGTGTCAGTGGAGTCTTGAGCATTGGCAATGGGTGAGAGGCCCCTTTCTGTAATTGGCCTCTTTTCCTTGATACCTTGAGAGGGCAGGTGACCGTTTGCCATTTCGATACGAGTGAGAGGCATTGGGTACAGGCTGCTGATGACAGACACCATTTCTGCAGTGGGACCAGATGGATTATGCACCAAGGGGCGCAAAGCATCATTATTTAAGTAAGCCATGGAGCTTCCTAAATTTTGCTCCATGATCCTTGGAGGCATCAAATCATGGTCCTTATCATATAAATAATTGTTGTAGGAAACTTCAAAGCATTGTCGCTTCTCTCCTGGAAACACACAGAGAACCAAAACCAGTTAGCAAACACAATTTACTGTCACAGCAGCCATATAGAAAGCAGCAAGTGTTCTTTAGATACCTCCAAACACCCAGAAAACTTTACTTAATATAGTTCCACCAAATATTTCCATAAATTCTTTCCCTCGGATTCTGATCCACTCTCCACATTCCACACTTTCAATAAACATATAGTGTAAGAATGAAGAAGCTCTTTAGACCTTAAGCAATGGCCTTAAACCAACTTACGTTTTACTAAACCTAGCTATAAGGTCCACTAGCTGTCTATATACTGGATCAGTGGAGTGATGTGAGAAGAAAACAAGACCATACTAAGACCAAAAAAATATGATAACACAACGACAAACGCTGGGAGTGAAACATTAATTCTATGATATTCTATAAGATGTAAACCAGATAATTGTAAAATTGAGTACAAAAAGTTCTTGTTGGTACAGATAAACGGAACCCATCTGGTCATTTAGGAAACAAGGAGCAAGAGGAGAAGACCAATTGGGTTTAAAGATGACACAAGCAAATTTAAGCAGTTAGATGTTTCCATATGCATAAAAAGGGCATGTAGCTTTGTCAGAGGTTGACTCGAATTATAATGTAAGATGAGTGGTGTATAAAAACAGATCATATCAGTGAAGTCTGCTTTTACTGCAACGTTATACCTGTGAGTCACTGTACGCCAAAATCCCGCACAAGTGTATTTACTGACATAAGTCTAATTCTTGCTCACCACGAAGCCCGTTTTGGCAACAGAGCTACGCCCTCTCACTTTCTGAAACCTGAGCATCCCTTGACAGGTTCATATGAATCACTGTGTGAACAAGGGCCAAATGCTGCGGAGACACTGCTCACAGTGAAAAAAATGATGATGGCTGCGAAAAAAATTATCTGCGTTATCGGAATTTGTATTTCCAAAACTGCCAATTCAACATCATTCTGCACGACAGATAGGAGAAGAAAAAAAAAAAAAAACGTGCAGAAAAAGAGATAATTAGCAACTGATTAGTATTTTTCATAGAAAACATTGCATCAGCAACTGCATTATTGCAAATGTTTCACTGTTGGCGACCTCATCTTCCTATTAGAGAGGTGAAGTAGGTCTTAAGATGGCTTAAGACAACTATTTCCAAATAAGAGTGCCTTCACGTTCAATAACAAAAGTGTGGTGACTTAGTTTGTGCTTGGTTTTGTCTACATTAATCTCATCACAACACAACTGGTTACGGGTAAGGTGTGATAACTTGACATACATGAGCTCACAGACTCATAGAAACTGATGGAATATTATGTAACAACAAGACTTTAGTACTAAAGACTTGGAGGGCATTATAAAGCACGGCAGCCAACTAACACTTGTTAAATGGACACTACAAGCACCAAAACACCTTGAATTAGCTTTGGTGTATAGACTAATTCCCTGCACTCTTACTGCTAAATTCTCTTCTTACCTTGCTAGGCTTCTGCAGGGACTAGCAAGGTATTAACAGAGCAGGAAATAAAAAATTCTAAATTAAACAGACTGTGCTATAAAGGAAGTTTAAACATTAGATCTCTCTTTACAGGAAGTGTTTAGGAAGGCTGCGTAAGCCACATGTAAGGAGGTGTTACTATGGCTGCATAAACAAAGTGATTTAACTCCTAAATGGCAGAGAATTGAGCAGTGAGACTACACCAAAACCACTTCATTGAGCTCAAGTTGATTTGGTGCCTGTAGTGTCCCTTTAGACACTCACACACTGACCATGAGTGAGAGACTTGAGCGGACCAATTGGCAGATCCCACTATAGTGCCTAATTTATCCTCATCTCACAGCGCAGAGAATGCAGGTGGCCACCCATCCACTCCGAATGTAACCTCCCACCAACTGCCTGTGGGTCAAGGGCATTGGAAAGTCCCCTGTATAGTTAAATGAAAGATCCCCTTACAAAAAATAATTTTTCCGTCCACACCACAGCCATAGAGATAGAGCTCCGGAGTGGATATTGCATATACACACCTGTTATTTTAATAAAGGGGAATTTTTTTCGCAGTTATATGTCATTATGGTTTTTCCTGGTTAACCCTTTTCTTGCAGAGATGTGCTCATACTGTTTGCACTTAATGGATTACTGCAAGCATCATGACCACTTTTGATTTGATTTGAAGTGGTCATGGTGCCTCGAGTCTGTATGTTGCCGCGTTTAGCTTTGACCCAGGTAAGAAGGCAAAGCAGTGCCCTATTACCAGGAAACAAATCCAAGGTACTCCTGAGATCCTAACCACTACTGCATGCTTTAGTGGTAATGATGTTT